GAAGAGTATGATTGCAGGCAAGAAGTACTTTGTGCTGCCCAAGTATCGCGATGAAATCGAAGAGCTGTTTAAACAAATGGTTTACGTCCCGACGAAGGAACAGTTCCAGAGCAGGTTGAAGCTGTTCGAACAGAGAACAAAGAAGGCTGCGCCAGGGTTTGCTGAGTACTTTGCACGAAACTGGTCAGCCTGTAGCAGTATGTGGGCGAACTATGGGCGTCGACGATGCTTCTCGGCGGGTAACACTACTACAAACCGGGTGGAGGCTGGGTGGAACCAGTTAAAGCAGCTGCTGGGAAAAAAAACTAGCATCGACCGATGCGTTCGAGTGATAATTCAACACAACTCAGTGTTTTGCGTGATTTTTCGACGGCGATAAATCTGTTTGATGTGTGCCCTCCTGTGACGGACCCGCTACCGGCTGCGTTGCACCGCATCGCTACAGTTCTGAGCCCGTACACGCTGAGGAAGGTGCAACAGCAATGGGAGAGCTACAAGCTGAATGGTGCGAATTGGGACTGGGGTTGTGAGCAGGACGGAGGTCAGGACGTCTTCACAATGGCTACTTCGGAAGGCAGCTGTGTTAGAGGGACATGGCGGACTTCTGGTCAACCCAGTTGCGATTGTATTTTCTTCTCGTCGCTACGGCTTCCTTGCAAGCACCTGTGCAGTGTCTGAACGACCTTCAGAAGCGACAATGTTTTTGAAGTTGCCCAACTTCACGCGTGTTGGTCGATGAAGGAAGCATCGGCAACATTGCCATTTGTAGAGTCGACAATGGGGCATTTACGAAAGGTTACAAGAATTACAGGAAATGCATCACACACGCCTGCGTCGAGTATCATGCTTGCTTCGAAGAAACGGATTGCTTTTGTGAAGCTGAAGAAGGGTGAGACCAGTGACGAGACCGTACTCTCTGACTGCGAGAAGTACAACGTGGTTAGAGCGGAAGTTATGCCGTTAGTTGACAGTCTTCAGAGCCTCCCGTCTGCTGAGTTCTACGAAACATTTGCCGATCTTCCCGCAACAATAAGAAGCTTTAAGAAGAAGTGGAGCTTGAACCGAGACTCTCTCTCAGATGCGGGTGAATCGGACGACGAGTCCGATGCGATGGGCCTGGAATACGAGATGGCATGTGAAGGCATTGGTATCATGAATAACGCGCAACTTCCCGTTCGTACTTTGGAAGAAGCCGATATTCATGAGCCTCCGGAGTACAACACGAGCTCTCTCGTGATACAGGGACTCGATGGAGACGATCTGCCGTCGTGTTGCTTAGCAAACCCATCCCAGACATCCCTGCCGGACCTGACTATCAGCGAGCAATCACAAGAGGTGTTGCAACAGCAGCCAAATGTTCATTCAGCAACGTCGACAGCATCTCTATTGGCGCAGCCGGGGTTTCTTTTGGAGCGAGCGGGTGCTATAGACAACATTCAAGTTCTGCGATTACCTGAAGCATCCAGTTCACGGTCGAGAAACACTAAAAAGGACAGCAAGTGGGCAATCGCCGAGTGTCGAACCGATTGTCCTGTTGATCTTAAAGACTTCTTGAAGTGGATTGACACGACGCCTGACGTTGATTACGTCGGAAAAATAGCGTCAAATTACCCGGCTTGTTACAGCAAGAGTTAGCTGCTCTCAAGATCTTCAACGGTTCTTCAAAAGAGGGCAAGTGAAGTCATTAATGATGCCAATTTTGTCATTCCAGTGAAGTTGTTGGAGCGTGTGAATAGTGCACTACTTCACTGGACTTCAAAGCAGACCGAAACAGAAGATTTAGATCCTTCGCAAGACGATGTGGCTCCAGCGGCATTTGTGGCTTCTGAAATGGGCGGCTTCTCCATGTAAGTTTTGATAGTATGTTTATCTACTTGACGGCTCTGACCTGTGTCTATGGTTATTGTAGGAATTACGTACGACTTGTGAAAAACTATTACGCGTCCATGAAGGCTGTTGATGATTATCGAATGGATCTAGCATGGTTGCGTGGAGGGTGGAGTAGTATGACACCGATGAAGCATCATTTTTGGAGGAGGCACCGGCGTCACCTGCAGTGTTGTCACGTGAAGTTGCGCAACAATTTCGCCAGTCGCCATTGTCTCGGACGTCTGTCATACCTTCAGGGCCTGCAGGACGCAGTGTTACTTCAACACTTCGCCATATAGTGGGCAAGTTAGCGAGAAGCAAGCGTCTTAATGACGCCGTGATGGATGCAGCGCTCTGGCATGTGTCAACGTACTGCAAAACCTGCTACGCTATCGACGCTATCTCCGTTACTAACGAAAAGAGATTCGTTCCAGATTTCTCTTTGGCGTCATGCAACTACGTGCTGGTGCCTATTCACATGGCTGCCTTGAAGCACTGGATTATTCAAATTGTGGAGATTCAGATGGCCGATCCGGATACGTCCAAGCACAAGATATGGGTAGATTTCTACGATCCATTAGGCGTGGCGTCTATCATTCACGCTTCCACTACTTCAACAATGGTTTGATCGAGATCAAGACAGAGAAAAGTTGCGCAAGTGGGTGTCTAATCTGGTGACAACAAAACGCCAGATTAACTCAAGAGACAGCAAAGCAGTCACAACAACTGGGCCAAATGATGATGGTGCAGCGCCCATGACCTCTCCGTGCTCGTTACCTGACATTGTTGCAGTTCCGGTTACGACCCCCAAGCAAGTAGACAGTGTAAGCTGTGGTATCATGTGCATTGCGCAGGCCTATAGCTACGTGACTCGCATGCGATCGCTGAAGGCATGTAACTCGATTTCAGACAGTGATTTGGCTCAAATGAGACTGCGCCTACTGTGGACAATGCTGCATAAGTCAACTGGCGATGCAACTAGAGATAATGAGGGCTGGGCGCAGCTATTATACATTCGGAAGAAGGTGAAGACAGCGTTCAAGAGCTGCTGAGTACATAATTCATGTATAAATGAATTAAACTATGTCTTCTTTTTACGAATAACATCACTTAATAATGTAGAGAATGAAACATTCACGCTGTGACGGAGCTCCTTTCCTTCTGTTGCTGTCGTCACCGCATCTCTCATATTATCGCCTACAGTTGCCGCAATATCTCCATGAAGCTCCACCAGCGCCACGAGAAGATCCTCCATCCTGTTCAGCTTGAGCTGAAGCTCCTCAAGCTCCGAAATACGGCTCCATAGAAGCATTGAAGAAGCTTCCTGCGGTTGCAAGCATTCGCTGTTCACGTTTTCAGTGTGCATGGTCTGCGCGGCGTGTCCTCCGGCACCTCGCTCGATGCTCTTGCTCCGTCGCGTTATTGACTTTGTGTATCTGCGTCGTTTCGCCAACTGAACCGGCACCGAGCTTAACCGTTCGAACCGGTTCATGTGGACTGGATCGCATGATATATTACGTGAGTGGTGGTTATATATTATTCGATTTGAGGGGAAAGGTGCCGAAGCAGAAATAGCAAGGTGCTGATCTCGTAATTTATCGATCCGATTAGACAGGAAAGGTGCTGAAGGTGCCGTTACAAAGGTGCATTAACGAGAGCGCCGAGCAACCAACGGATGCCATTATTGGGACAGAACATTCCACAGAACAAACATCACCACAGACCTAACTCTAAAAGAGACAATTGACACCCTATGCACTGCTGCTGCGGGACTTGAACTCACAATGCAGCGATTGGCTAGGGCGAACATGAACCACTGCACCATAAGCAAACCCGATAGTGAGTACAAGATATCACCCACAACTGAGATTAATAATGAACTCTGAAAAAGTTTGTTCACGTGAATTATTCTCAACAAACTTGAGTGAGAATATTTAGTGTATGAGATTATTTATCAACTTAGATTAATTACCGTGACCACTGTACCGGTAGAGTTGCTCTTATTACCACTGCTGCGGATGCCAACCCCTGTGCCTTTGTCTTCAATAATGAGCGGCTCTCGCATTAGGCTTCCTATCAACATTCACGCAGCACTTATCACGAAGCGTACGTTAAATATTTTTACCCCTAGGGCCAATTAAGGGGGGTACACCTCTAATGTAATAAAATTGGTTATGCTGATGTCGGAGTGCATTACAGTGGAACCACCCCCATCCAAAATTTTGATCCAAATTGAGGCAGATAGCTTCAAGTAATGTCAGAGTGATGCTCGCTCTGCGTTCATTGGGCCAAAATCACCGCAAGATATCATCCGTGTCATTTCGCGTTTGCCCTTCTGTACCTCGTTATGGACGTCAAGAAGCGCGTACTACTTAGCGTCGCATACGCTGGCGTGGGCGTGGTCTTCACCGCAGCTGCCAGGTTTGACTGGCTGTCCAAGGGCGCGGCCGCCTCGCTCCTCTCGCTCGTGTGGTTGGGCTTCGTGCTCGCCATCTCCTGCACCGAGTCGTGGGTCAAGTTCCGCGCTCCGTTCATGCCACGCCACCTGGCATTGGACTTGGGTCGTACCATGTTCGCGGCGCTCAACTCGGTGGAGATCGGGCTTTGCGTGGGGCTCTGGCTGCTGCATTTCCTCGTTGCGTCTGACGGGGGAGATGCTGTGTGGCGCCTCGTCCTTGCCACGCTGCTACTGGCCGTCCAGGCTGCGTGGCTCTACCCGAAGCTGCAGCTCACGGCCGAGTTTGCTTTGTATGAAGCGCTCAAGGAGATGGACGAAGACAGTATGTCATTCAACCAGAAGATGCAGTTCGGCGAGATCAGACACCAGGTCCAGATCCAAGATCGTCCAAGGGTGATCTACCACATCCTCTACGTCGGCGCCGAGTTGGTCAAGATCCTGACGCTTCTCAGCTTCGCGTTGCACTTCCTCAAGGCCATCCCCGCGTGAGCTCAGTAGGAAGTTTTTTTTGCATACTTTGTTCAAGATACCTCGTAATCGTTCAGTCATTGGTTGAAATTTTGCGTGGACGAGGTCAGTTGGTAAGACGTGCATGTTGCGCTCGTCGATTCCTCTGGTTTCACAGTGCTCGTGGCAGCGTCCTCTCCGTCGTGTGTCCATACATTGTAGTAGTATGAATGTTGTAGCTCAAGGCTCAGATGCGGCTGAAACGCCGACTAAGCAGCCTCTGATCATGCAGTACTATTTGGTAATTGAATCAACCTCTTTTTATACTACGTAGCATACACTGTAACAAGAACTTGACCTGACTGCTTTACAATGCTAGCGTCAAGGAATTATTCTCCCTGAGGAAGCTGCGCATGTAAGAGCTACACTGGAGGCTCCTCTTCCTGCCTGCTTTCGAGTCAACCCGATGTCACCGGTAGCTTCCAGTATCATCGACCGCCTTAACAATGAGTTCCCGAAGGCCTTTGCGGGTGCCCCACACCTCGACGGACAACCGTTAACACCACCGAGGTGAATTTGCACGTTGCTTGATATGATAGACAGTAGATATGCTAACATATTCGTTGTGTGATGCTAGAGAACTGCCGTGGTATTCAGCCAAGCACGGTAGAGCATGGCAACTCGACTGCGGGAAGACGGCACTGACCAAAGGTGCACGCGAGAGCAGCGCAATCCAGGACTTCCGAGCGTTTCTACTGCATCACACAGCGGAGGGGAATCTCAGTCGTCAAGAAGCTGTCAGCATGATTCCAGCGCTACTGCTCGATGTCCATCCGCATCACCACGTACTGGACATGTGTGCTGCTCCTGGATCGAAGACTACGCAGATTATGGAGGCGTTGATATCAGACAAGGTGTCAATTAATACTCAAGGCTTCGTTGTGGCCAATGACGCCAATGAGAAGCGCGGGTATCTTCTTGTTCATCAACTGCAACGACTGGGACTCGATAACTTCGTCGTCACTTGTCATGAAGGTCAAAAGTTTCCTGGACTCTACAACTCTAACGTCGAATTACAACGCACCAACGTCTTTGATCGCGTACTGTGTGACGTTCCTTGTAGTGGTGACGGCACGATCCGCAAGAACCGGAACTTATGGGGACGCTGGGCTCCTGGCAGCGCCCTCACGTTGCATCCGATCCAGATTGATCTTGGCTTGCGAGCTGCTGCGCTACTACGCGATGATGGCGACTCGATCATGACGTACTCGACGTGTTCGTTGAATCCTGTGGAGAACGAGGCTGTAGTCGCTGAGTTGCTACGACGTGCAGACGGCGCGTTGGAGCTTGTGGACTGCTCTGAGAAGCTTTCTGGGCTGATCACACGTCCCGGTGTGACGTATTGGAGTGTGGCTTGGCAAGCGCGTACAGCTAAGGGCGAGGCTCGAGCCCCGTTGCAGTGGTTTGACCAATATGAGAGCGTACCTGACTTCCTACAAGGCTCTCGAATCCTTCGGTCCATGTTTCCACCTGCTGATGAAGAGATCCAAAAAATTCTTCCGCGATGTTTGAGACTCTTTCCAACGGACCAGAACACTGGCGGCTTTTTCGTAGCAGTTCTGCGAAAAGTAAAGGGGACTAAGTTACCTGGACATTATCAATGTGGTCTTAGCAGCTACGAGGTTGCTGCCACTGCCAGTGGGGAACGTAAAGCATCGCGTAGAGCTCAGAAACTCGCTGAACAAGGTGTGGTTCCATCTGAATCGAACAAGAACACATTAAAGAAAGTGACGAAGCAAAGTTACACGATGTTACGAGCTGATCATTGGGAGCAGATCAAAGAGTTCTACGGCATTGCAGACGACTTTCCTTATGTAAGCTCACTGGAGATGTATGACGATTGATAGCTACTATATTGACGCTCTGTTTACTAGGAAAACCTGTACTCTCGATCCGAAGGCACATCTTCTGTTTGTGTGGTGAGCTCCAGCATTCGTGGAGCGATTCTCGCGGGGGAACAGCCACACGTACGTACATTCTTCCTATACTGATTAGTTGCTTGTGGTACTGACGTGAAGTATTTAGATTCTGGACACTGGCTTGAGAGTTTTCGCTCGAGTGCAGGCAGTAGGCAAGCGTCTATGGTTCCGACTCACGGAGGATGGTCTTGAGCAAATGTTACCTTACATCACGAAGAGAAAAGCGTCTGCTATTATTGAAGATCTCATCGCAATTGTGACGGCACCAGGGAACGACACCAAGCAAGTTGCGGTCGGTCTCGAGCGCTTTAGCGAACTACTACAAGAGTCGGCTGGAGCTGTGCGAGACCACTCCGGTGTCGGTCCCATGCTGATGATTCTACCGGAAGCTGAACGCGATGCGGCGAAGAACCGCCAACTTCCCACTGCACTTCCAGTGTGGGTTGGCGATAAGACTCTCACTCTACTCGTCGATAAATCCACGCGAGACCGCATCGCACACGCATCGCAGCAGTAAATGAAAGCTGCGTGCAATTTTTTTGGTCCATTACTTTGACTTGAAAAGTTACGCGCTTAAGTTTTACCTTTCCTTTGAAAAGTCTAAAGCGATTTTAATACATGTATGCATAAAAAATGGTTTTATCTTTCCAAGTAAAACGGTAGGGCTGGATTTCCCATCATTTAAAAGTTTATGGAATGTTTTGGACATGTTGGACAGCCCAAGTATTTGTGAAAATACGTAATGCACGCAAGCGGATAGTGCGTCTAAAATTTGAGCATGATGCTCTTTATATTTTACCGGACGGGGGTTGTCTCTAAAGTCCGCGAGCTAAGATGGTGTGGAGTTTGTACAGCGCCTCTGATGCTGTGGGTCGGTTCTTGGGGTCAATGGACACGCAGGCCATGCCGAGTTCCTTGATCGCCTTGGGAGCTGCCGACGAAAACTCGATGCGGAGTTTGCCAGTAGCGACCATTTGCAGGATAGCCAAGTCGGGCATCGCTCGACCAGAGTCGCTGTTCTCCTTGGCATTAGCATACGGTAACAGGTGCTGGTCCAGTTCAGCCAGTACCACACCGAACGAGAACATGTCGGCCTTGTCGTCGTACCGTTCTCCCATCATCACCTCCGGCGCCATCCAGCGCGAAGATCCGACACCGCCAGTCATAGTGTGGTCGGATCTCTCACGCGAGACGCCAAAGTCCGTGAGCTTCGCATCCAGTTGGGAAGTCAATAAAATGTTCTTGGACTTGAGGTCGCGATGAAGAACTGGCGGTGACAACGAGTGGAGATAAGTCAGTGCATGTGCAACGTGAAGCGCGATGGTAGCTTTGCTCCGGTCGAACCCTCGAGGCGTCTTGTGCTCCTCGCAGTTCTTGAGAAGCGTGCGGAGGTCGCCACCTTCCATGAACTCCGAGAGGACACAGAGGTCCGTGAGTGAATCCCACGCTACGCCAACGAATTGAACGATGCGTTCGTGATTCAATGAGGCCATGAGCTTCACCTCCGCCAGGAAGGCGTTCAAGTGGCTGATACTCTTGCGCATTTCTGGCAGCAGCATCTTGATAGCGACGGGTTCGTCGTTAAACATACCCGAGTAGACTTCCCCGTAGCCTCCTCGGCTGATAAGATCTTGTACTATAACCTTCTCTCGTGGGACGCGAGCTGTGATGATGATCTCATCCTCCCACAAGCCACTGATACCGCTCAAGTTGCGTCGACTTCGCGGCTTGGCTTCGTCTTCAATACTTCCCTGTGAGTACGACGCTTCGGAGCCTAGTGTGATCGCGTTCAGAGCGCTCTCTGGTGTCGGGTAGCCGGCGTAACTTGCAGCCAGAGCAGCGATACCTGAATCCTTCGAAAGGTTATCATCGTAACGACGTCGAACGTACTTGAAGGTGGCGAAAGCTAGGAACGCGACACAAGCAACCGAGCCGACCACGATGGCCGTGATGGGACCCCAACCGAGACCATCTGAGTCCTCACTGAAGGTCCATTTGGCTTGGCTGTTTTCGTATGAGAACGCTGAACTACTAGAGGCAGTTCTGCTGGACGCCGTGCCTGTGTAGAACCTGTAGTGGTCTTGAACACACTCGCCATTCAAGATTTCCTCTCTGTCCAGTTCAAACGCTAGTGAGGGGGAGCCACCGCAGTCTCCGTCGTCGAAGAGGAGGACAACCGCTGAACCGTTCGAAAAGAGACTGACGATGTCGGACGTGTTGGCTAGTGCAGAGGATTTCTCGCACGTTTCCGACGCTGGATAGACGGTAGTTTGGACCAAATGTGCGCACCCGACACCGTCGTACTCCTCCATCATGACGTAGTCGAAACCTAGGAATCGCTCCCCTGTGTACTTGAACCGGTCCGTAACGTTACATGATGCGGCCACGAACAGTGTGTAGCCCCCGAGATCGTGTGGCATACAGGCTTGCGGGTCGCAGGTATCTGTTTCGATCATCTTGAGCACGTTTGGTGTCCCTGCGCAGTGGCTTCCTGAGTAGAGCTCCCTCGCGGACCAATTCGTCGCGAGGGAGGGCGCCAGGAGCAGCGGGGCCACCGCCACCGCCCTGACCCAAGACATGAGGAACGGAAGTTTGCCTAAAAGACGGTGATCGTAGAATGAGCGTCGAGCGACGAGGCCGCGCCCTCCTTCCAGATCCCGGCGATTGGGAGACAGATGGAAGACGCGGCTTCCCCATCGTGGCGAAAATCTCGGTGGATTGAGGCAGGCGTTTGGCACGGGCGATCGATCATCAAAAGCCGGACAGCACCGACACAGCGGGAAGCCGTACGGAGCAAGGCGCGAAAATCGACTCTTTCGTAGCGAACAGAGTACATGTAGCAGATTGATGAATACCACGGTGGTGTCACCGCCACAATGACCTATCTGAGATAGTATCTCGGTGTGCTTTTGTCAAGCCTGCGCTTGAAAAGAGCGAGACTTTGACTTCATTTTTGCTGCCCTTCAAGGTGGACCGAAGGCTGGTGACACATGACGAGTGCTTGAAGCAAAGAGGGCTTCGATTACAGTATACATGAACTCCCAACTCAATACGTTATCCACTGTTACCCTTACACTATTCATCCCAACTACCCCTATCATACTCGGTTGTCAAAACAGTATGCAGCTTGTAAAGCACTTCAGCTGCGGTCGGCCGATCGTCAGGGTTCACTGCAACGCAGGACAAACCCAGATCAGCCATCGGTCCGACACTAGAGAACTGAACCTGGAGCTTCCCCATCGCCACCAAATGCACAATCGCTGTGCTAGGAATCTTGCGACCTGGGTTGTTATCCTCCACGGCGTGCGAATAGGGCAAAGCGTGGAGATCCAGCTCGGACAGCACCACGCCCATGGAGAACACGTCGGCCTTGTCGTCGTATCTCTCCCCCATCATCACTTCCGGGGCCATCCAGCGCGACGTTCCCACTCCTGCAGTCATAGTTTCGTCGATATTTTCTCGAGATTCGCCAAAGTCGGATAGCCGCGCGTCCAGTGTGGCGCTCAATAGAATGTTCTTCGACTTAAGGTCGCGATGCAACACTGGCGGGTCCAGTGAGTGCAGATACGTCAGTGCGTGTGCAATATGAAGCGCGATGGTCACTTTGGTCATGTTGAAGCCGACAGGGTACTTCTGAACTTCATAACCTGCTAAAAGTGATCGTAGGTCGCCCCCCTCCATGAACTCGGTCAGTAGACACATGTCGGACAGCGAGTCCCAAGCCACACCAACAAACTGCACAATGCGAGGGTGTTCTAGCATAGACATGAGCTTCACTTCCTCCAAAAATGAGTTGAGATACTTCATACTCTTGCGGTTCTCCGGTAGCAGCATCTTGACTGCGACGTGCTGACCGTTGAACCAGCCCGACATGACCTGTCCGTATCCGCCATGGCTTATAACCCCTTCAAAGTCGATTTTGTCACGGTCGACTCGTGCTGCAGCGATCTCGTCGTCGTCCCAGAAGTAGCTGATACTATGCTGCTCTTTAATCCCTTCCTTTGTGTACGAGCTCTTGGTGCCACCTGTGCTGAACGCTGCGCTCTTCTGTCTGGTTCGCAGAGACGTGTACCGCTCGCAGTCCACAAAATCATCAAGGTCCTCAGTACTCTGCTTGTCGTGGGGCATTCGTCGCTTCCAGCAGCAGACAGCCGTCATAAACCCCATCACACCTGCAGCTAAAACGATGCCTACTACGGTTACTAATTGCAGGTGTGAGCTTGGTTCTTGATCGCTAGACCTGTTTTCCACGTCTGGATCGACTGATCCGCTACTGATTTCCTCAATCATCTCGCTATCGCTCGTGTAGAATTTGTAGTAATCTTGGACGCAGTCACCGCTCGAAATGTTACCACTGTCCAAAATGAAACTCATATAGGTGTCTCCCTCACAGTTTTCATCTGGATACAACGCTACCAACGCCGACCCATTGGCAAACAGAGCTGAGACAATTGAATATTGCCCGTTTACTGGCGATTCCGAGCAGCCACCCGAGACCGGTAGAACCGTTGTCAAGCGTAGATCTTCGCACCCGGCAAATCCGTAGTCCTCTACGACGATGTAGTTGTATTCCCCATATTTTTCTCGGGCGTACGCGAACCGGTTCGTGATGCTACACTCGGAATTCCTGAATCTGGTAGCATTGTTGATTTCGACGGGAGCGCACTGGCGGAACGAACACTTGGTCGACTCTGAGAGACGCACGACGACGGGCATACTCGTGCAATTGTCGGTGGCAAAAATCTCCTGCGCGAGCCAAGTGGAGCATGACGGGACCGTTAACGCCATCAACAGTAGCAACAACAGAGCGGCTGAAGCCCCCGCCAAGGACATCGCGAGACTCAAGGCGGACCAGAGTGGAACTGTGTGGTTGTCACGCAGAGAAAAAAGCAAATTGGCAATTGTGGGGCACACCAATTGCACCTCATTCCCCCAAGATGTGCAATAGCTTCATGTTTGTGCACTTATGTGAAAGGTTGGCGCTTTTGGTGCAACCAGCAACAGTGACATTGTGGAAGTAAACAACTCTACATCAACAATGTTGATTCACAGAGGAAAAAAAATGCAGTTTTATTTTTGCGCTTGTTTAATTACCTGTACAAATTTATGCTCTCTTCAAAACTATAACACTTAGTTTTCTTTATTTAAGCAATAGGTCCCTGTAAGCACATACCCTGTCCAGATTACTTTTTTAGGGTCTAATTGTGGCTGTTTTTGAAGCGATTTTCACCAATCAGATCGCAGTATTTCAAAAGATGCACAGCGGCGGCCCGACATTTCGTCATGACGGCGATGTAGGGGACCACGACGGCTATCCACCAGCGAACACTGTCGCCCACACTCTTCAATACACACCCAGTGCACGCCTCAAGATTTTCCTCTCCTGTAAACGACACTCGGCACGCTACGTATGAGCTTAAACTCATCAAAATTAATCCTCTTGCTGTGCGTCAGATGGGCACGACAGGTTCCAAGCTCTTGCGTTCCACTTGAAAGCAGCATGTACGAATAAAACGCATCATTTGCAGCACACAGTAAACTGGAAGCTTACGTCCATTGCTGCCATGTAGTGCAACGACGCGGTCACGTGGTGTGGCTGGACATTGAAAAGCTGTCGGCTGGTATCGACTGGGAGGAAGGTATTGCAGGCGGCTTGTCCTGGGTGCGAGATGCAGGTGCAGACGGTCGAGTGCTGCTGATCATGACGCCTCACGCTCTACGACGGCCAGACGGCTATTGTCTCAATGAAGTGGCCAGGGCTGCGTCTTTGAGACTTAATATCTTTCCTGTTATGGTTGCCGAGAGCGCTCCACCGCCGAGTATCGCCATGTTGCCATTCTTCGATATGCGCGACTGCGTCCCCGAGGATGTGGAGCATGCAAAGGACAGTCAGGCGTGGCAAGATCGCATGAAAAGCTGCTTAGAAACGTCCACCTTCCTGGACAAGGCGGAGCGGTTGTATACCGTCCTAGAACTGGTGCGACGACTGAATCAGCGCTACATCGTGTTGAGTTGAAGCTGAATACAACGACTGACGCTGTGTTGTTACAGTTTGAGTCCATTACAAGCTACGGCGTTCCTGCAGTCACAGGGTTGGCGAATTTACGTCTCTTCCCAGGGTTCGATGACCCTCATCTGGACACGCCACGGAGTAGCAGTGTACGGCGATTACTGTCGTTGTCTCCAACACGCGGACGGTCCGCCAGCCTCGATGTACCCCCAGAAGACGACGGTAATGTGGTCACCAACGCTCTATCTTCAGTTGATAGCAACGAAGCAGCCGCACTTGAAGCCTCGTTGACTACCCGAACGGAAGTTAAAGAAGAGGAAAACGGAGCTGTGTCGTGTCGATCAACGCGCTATGTGCTGAGCTACGACGAGAGTTGCTACGTGCTTGCTCTGCGTATATACCAAGATCTTACCGACTCTGGCTACGCAGTGTTCCCTGTCTCATCGGTGATAACAATGGAAGACGCAAGTTCTGGACTCAACTCTCGAGAAGATGCTCTGCAATGGGCGTCGGCCGAGAGAGATGGCAAACTGATCCTCTTGTTGACAGCAGAGAGTGTGGGGCGTCCGCATGGTGTCAGTCTGAACGACGTGTCTGCAGCTATGAGCGCAGGACTGGGCTTTGTGCCTCTACTCGTCCGCTCGTGCGAGATTCCGCTCTCTATCTGTCGAATCCAATGGCTCGACATGACTGACTGTCTTGTATACAGTGGCGATGGGTTTGCAAGTCTCAATCGAGTTCGATACGAGAGTCGCAGGGAGCAACTAGTATCAGCTTTGGAAGGGACGCTGGACCATGAAGGTCAGCAGACTCGACTCTTCTCGCTGCTGTCGCCCTTCAGCTTCCAGCGTCAGATCAGCCACCTCACGGAGACTTTTGTGGGCAGAGAATGGCTCTTTCAGCTCTTCCAACGATGGGTTCAAGGCTCTGCGGCTTCAACTCGTGAGCTCAGTAACCAGCGAGTTTTCTGGGTTATCGGTCAGATCGGTTCGGGGAAATCGTCCGTGGCGGCGTGTATGGTGCAGGCTTGTCCCGAAATTGCGGCGTTCCACTTCGCCACACAAGAAGATGAGCAGACACACAATGCTCGACGATGTGTTCTCTCGCTCGCTTATCAACTCACCACGCAGCTACCCGAGTACGCGCACTATTTGCAGTCTCACGAGCCATTGGAAGAGATGGTCCCGGTTGCTTCGTTCGTGGAACTCGTGACGCATTTGCTGATTGGTCCTCTAAATGCCATTGCGAGACCATCGAAGTACAAGTCGCTGGTCCTGCTGATTGATGGCGTCGAGTGGCTACTACCGGCTTCCTGTACGCCTGTAAATGGGGGATCATGGAGAGAAAGTAAAGACGAAGAGTGTCTCGTGTCAATGCTACCAATGCTCGTGTCACGCTTACCGGAATGGGTGCGTATTGTCTTGCTGAGTCGAGAAGAGCCCCCCGTGCTCTCCAAACTCCACGCCTTCGACCCTCCTGACGTGATTATCGAGCAATTCAAGCTGCAAAACGACCAAGATATCCGTCGATTTATCAGCTCGTCCCTCTCAAAACTGAACTTGAGTGACGTGGATTTCGAACAGGCTTCGGCTCAAATTGGCTCGGGGTCCGACACTGGTGAGTTCGGGATGGAGCAAGTCGTCGAGTTAATTGCTCGACGCTCCGAAGGACTCTTTTTGTACGCCGTTAACGTCGTTCAAGCCATCAGTGAAGGACGTTTGCGTCTTCACGAGTTGGCCGAGCTACCGGTGGGTATGGGAGCCTATCTACATCAATTCTTCGCGAGTCATTTCGCTGATCATGACGTGTATAAGCACCGTATACGACCCGTACTGGAGGTTTGTTGTGCAGCGTACGAGCCCCTCCCTTTAGCAACACTTGCTCGAGTATTGGAATGGGACGTGTACGAACAGAGAGATGCAGCTGCTATGCTTGGTTCTCTCTTCTCGATAGAAGCCGGACATGACCCGGAAGCGCAGCTACTGCGACCATTTCACTCGTCCGTCTTGGATTGGGTACGTGACAGCAACAGCTCTGGCGTCTTCTTTGTCGATGTGGCATCCGGACACGAGCGGCTTGGTCGCTGGGCGGCACGAGAGCACCAGACACTCACTCGCAGCAATGTTTCCGAGTTTGTCAACCTCAAGTACGGTATTTTACGCGACTTATTTTACCAATCTGCCTGCTAACTTGTGCCATTGCTGTTGGCAGCTATGAACTGGAAGCTACGGGCGATGAAAAACTTAAGGCGAAGATTTACATTGTACGCAATGCCTGCAACCACTTGATGGTAAGATAATTTGGGTATTTTATTTTTATTTTACTTACGAGAACTCACACTGCGTCAATTTAAAATATATAGCAAGCTACTGGAGAGGACTGCATGCGGCTCGTTGCGGCGTTTGCAGCAGATGAAAAGTTTCAGCTAGCGCGTCGGCTTTTGCACGTTCGTGCTGAGGGTTTGCAGAGCTTTTTCCATGGAGACATCTCTCGTGAGAAAGCGCAGGAGCTTCTGGCACGACGTCAACCTCATCGAGTTGGCAGTTTTCTCATCCGCTACACGGCACGACAACGCACATACTGCGCTTCGTTCGTTGCTGCGCTGGATGACGCAACTGGTGCGCCCAAGTTCCGTCACAATTTGATCCACCACTTAGAGAATGGCTCGTACTCGACTGTTCCACCAGCAGAGGTGACGGAGAAAACGATCTTGTATCCAGATCTCATAAGCTTCGTCGAGCAGTACCAGCGCAAAGGAGTCCTGACAGCTCCAGTCGCACGTGACGTGCCTTTGAATCGAGAGATATCCAGATAAAATACTAAAATATCTGAAATTAACTAAATCCAAAGCCCATTTTACTTCCTTTTTAAAAAAAATGTTTTTGCTTTTAAAGATGAATTAAAAGCAAAATAAATTACCAGAACTAGCGTTACTTTATTTACGATGGTAAAAATCATAAATTCAGTTTAGTTTTTATTTGTTTGAAAAAGAAAAACTTAAAGAATTTCTGCTTTCTGTTTATAGAATATTCGATCAATAATGGTGGGGCACGCATGCAATCACACAAAACGAAGGTTTGACACACAGAAAATGTGATAACACATTCAACATGCGAGGCGCACACACATCACACTACACGATCTGCACACCACTCAATCTTGGCAAAACATGATCATCGTTTTAGCAGCTAATAAGCCAATCACCGGCTTTTTTAAATATCAAGAACACACATTATGTGATTTTGACAACACCAATCCTATGTCATTCTAAAAACCGCTGAGCTCTAATACTCTCTTTCTCCCAGACTAGAGATACCCTCGACGACCAAGTAGAAGACTGTGTGTAGCGTTATGGCTCGTGAGGACCCCCAGCTGCTCATAGAAGACATGAAGGTGTTCAACACACCAAGAGCCGGCTGGTTCCATGCGTCGTGTATGCTTTGACCAAGCCCCACAAGATGCGGCGCCAACTGCTGAGGTGCTCATTAGTAACATGCAAGGAAGCGACGCCATATGACACATGTCCATGAAAGGGGGAGGTGCTCACGTGTCAAAGTCTTATCCGCGTGGTGGCCATTGAGACTTATGCTCATGAGACGCTAGTGAGCAAAACTGACGCCCCGACTAAGGATTACGGCCATGACAATGGCAACCAAGGGCTGAAGCCCATTCGGATTCGCAATAGCATGCCTCGTCGGTTTGGATTGACGGAGCGAAAATGCATCTGCCCCAGGTGCAATGGCTCGTCAGCAGCTATTCGAAGCAAAATCGGCACCACAATGACGACCATGACGCAATACTGCGCTAAATCGATCGGTTGGCTTGTGGTCCGACCGTCTTGGACACGAACCCATTTTTTTCGGATGGAAGCGTGACTCACGCGGTAAGCCAGACGTGGTAAATGTCTCTGACGAAAAGCTCTTTTTGGTATGGCTGGCAACCAAACGCTCCTGCTTACTGCACCTCGAGACCCGGATTAATTTGTTTTTACATGGACGCCACATTCAAGTTGAACCTGGTCGGGTATCCTGTCGTCGCGTGTGGGATCTCGGACAAGTGTCAATCGTTTCAGCTTGTGACTTAATTTATTACGTCTTTACGCTGGGAAGACGTCTACGTGCTAACGCTAACGGAGCTACGCACAATATTTGCGTCGGTGCCCGGTCGGCAAATTGTCGTCAACTTCGCCATGGCAGATGCCGAAGCTGCTCAACGAAACGCAGTGGTGACGGGTTTTGGTGTAGATTCTGAGTTTGTGTACCTGATGTTCTTTTACCACGGAATGGCTGAGGTTCAAGAGAGACCCAAGGGTGATTCTGATGGCTTATGCGAGCAGGTGATGGAGGGTATTTACGACCTTCACTTTGCGGCAACCTCAGCTGGTTATGACTAACGAGTGACGCAAGCACTGACGGAATAGTTACGTAAAGAGCCGTTGATTTAGTTTCAGGAGTAATTTAACTGCACATGGGTGAAGAGCGCATTCTGATGATGTCAGCGTTGTCGTACACCGAGTGGGTACGCCACCACGAACAAACCGGTGGAGCAGCTCAATCGGCTGATCAAACTTGACTACACTCTACGAACGAAGTATAAGATCGGAACATTGTTCCAGCTGCTAGCGGACTGCTGTCAGCATCAGTCCATCACTTGTAAGATGCTCTAGGCTTACCCGAGCCTACAGAGCAGCTAAAATTCGAGTGAAAGATTTCCGGCGCCGCGATCTACTTATTGACTTGCCTCCCAGCCGGTCGAGTACTGCTATTTTCTGGTTTAAAAACCCGAATGTGGTCCGTGTGCTGTCACACGACTGCTCTCACGCTTACCTACCTGAGCTGGGGCGCAGTCGAAAAGTCCTTCCTGTCTCAGCCCAGATGGGTACCAATTATGCTCGCATGGAGACGGACGGACAGCAGGTTGGTGGCTGGAGCAGCGTTGACGTCACTACGATGACATATGAGTGCAAGTACTACTTCAAATTCGCTATTCGCATACACCTTCTGTTTGCTCTTCAGCAGAAGAAGAATGAAAAAAGAAAACTGTGTTTTAATGCTTGCATTTCATTAACTCAATTAATGCAATACTCTCTTGCTTGTCTCCCAACCGAATACGACACTTCTTGGTTTCTTGCAATTGATATAAACTGGTTTTCCGGTTTACTCTAAAACTGTCACCTCCGCTAAATACGGATTTTGTCATTTATAATTGAATATTTTCTTCTCTTGTCAAATGTCAAATTACCCATTTCAATCGTGGCTTAGAAACGTTTCTGCACAAATCAACTCGGTAGTCGTGCGGCTGTCATGTCCTCGCCCCACGTCGCTAGCGATGGCTCCTCTTCTGCGCCTGCATCATCCGCATCTCCGTCCGTGTCAGTGCAGGTCGTGTCATCCAGCGAGAGCGCCGCGTCCCGCGTCACCATCCCGTCGCCGTCCGCCTCGGGCGTCGACGATCCCGACGCCAATACGCCGAGCGCTGCAGCGTCATGGGCCAAAAGTTGGTCCCCATCCGCTGCTCTGCACCAAGCTAAGTCGGCTATGAAGCAGTCGGGATCAAGGCAAATGCCGCTCCACGGACGGTACCGACCGCTCCAGCTGCTGGAGGACGACGACAGCGACGACGAGTGGCAAGGTGAAGCTCGAGGCGTCCCAAGCTTCATCAGCGGCGCTTCAAGCCCCTCTTCAGCCATGGAGGCCGCTTCCATCCCATTGGCTCGTTCTCTACTCGAGCGTGAGCAGATGACGTCATTTCTACAGAGTTCGTGGGTGTTTCTACTGCTACTGGGCACGTTAGCCTCCGTAACAGCTTGGAGTGTCGATGCAGGAGTGTTGGTCGTCACAAAGCTCCATTCGAACTTCATAGCGTTCGGAGACACGTGGTCTCTAGGTTATATCTTCTATATCCTCTTCCGCGTGCTCATTCTGCTGCTGGGCGTGGGCTGCACGGTCCTCGTCTGTCCTGAAGCTGCGGGCTCCGGGATTCCCGAGATGAGGAGCATCTTGGGAGGTTTTCCGTTCCCCAACTACCTCACAGGACGCGCGTTGGTCGCCAAGTGCGCTGCCTTGATACTAGCACTGGGAAGTGGCCTCACTATTGGAAAAGAAGGTCCGTTCGTGCACTTGAGCTCGATTATCGCTCGTCAGCTGCTGCAATTGCCACTTTTTGAGCAGATTCGGAAGTCCAAGGACCTGACACACCACATGCTGGCAGCAGCATGTGCTGTGGGCGTGACAGCAACGTTCGGAGCTCCAGTGGGCGGCGTGTTGTTCAGTATCGAGGTCACCACGTCCTACTACGTGACGTCCAACTACTGGCGCGCCTTCTTCTCGTCCGTCGTGGGCGTCGTGGTCTTCCGTGGACTTAATAGTCTCCTAGCTGGCTCGTATGGATCGCTATTCACCACTTCTTTCGACCCACTACCGTACGAGACGTTCGAGATCGCCTTCTTCTTGTTATTGGCCGTCATCTGTGGACTACTCGCTGCGCTACTGGTCCGGTCATACCGCATGACTCTGGATATGAAGAAGAAGTTTGAGGATCAATACGTACTGCCCACTTGTGGCCGATTCCCCGGTGTATCGCCCCTTATCTACGCAGCTCTCGTGGCGTTTCTATTCTCTCTGGTGGAGTATCCAGTCGGCAGCTTTATGCAACTCACGCAACGTCAAGCTATCGATGATATGTTCTCTACCAAGACGTTAGCGGCGGATGAAGTGGCCACGGCGACGCACTTGTCGGTCGACTTCGGCAGCTCCTGGACGTCTCCGTCGCTCCATTTGAACCTCGTTACGTACGTGGTTGTGCGGTTCTGGGCCTTGGCTATCAGCGCCACGGTGTTCGTTCCCAGTGGGATTGTTACGCCCGTGTTCGCGATCGGTGCTGCACTCGGTCGTTTATTTGGCGAGATGGTCGTTATTCTGAGTGAAGGAGAGCTGTCTATTGGAGGCTACGCTGTCGTTGGAGCTGCTAGCTTCACGGCAGGGGTGACGGGGACCATCAGCATCGCAGTGATCGTGTTCGAACTCACAGGCCAGCTGAGCTACATGATCCCTGTACTGCTCTGTGTGATTGTGGGACGCGCTGTGACGCGCGTCTTCTCGCTCGACATGTACGAGACGATGGCTCGGCAGAAGAATTTGCCTCAATGGCCAGACCTGACCAAGCAGATTTCCTACTCCCTCACAGCTGGAGATCTCATGCGGGACATGCCTCCTTACTATCTTCTTCGACATCAAACACTGAACTCGATCAAGCACTTGCTACAAGTCACTAGTCGCGCCAAGAAAGACAAGATCGTTCGGCTGTTTCCAGTGGTGGATGACACCAAGACGATGGTGTTGTTGGGGGTTGCCACTCGAGAAGAACTCGAGTCTCTGGTGGTATTGTGGGAGCTCAGTCTTCGTAGCGGCAGAGTCACCGACCGTCGTGTTTCTGTGGCTGGAATCATGCCGGAACAGGCTGTCGTGCTGTCCAATCCAGCGACTGAAGAGTCCGAGGACGTGGACTTGGTGCATCTCGAACTCTTGAGTCTGGAAGAAGAACATTTTCACGCGCCTCGAGACACTTCCGCCAGTCAAGTGGTGCTACTCATCTCGGTACACAAAGCTCCGCAGTTATTCGTCACACATCGAGGAAAGTTACAAGGTGTCATCCATGCTGCAGACCTGCTGGCAGGCTCACGCAAGTACATGTTGTAAATATCAACCTAACAAACTTGCGAAAAAAATTTAACTGTAAAATTGACATTATCTTACGGTACTTGACGAGAACCTTGTTGTAGATTTCCTTAGATGCGTCGCACCATCACGGTACGGGTCGAGACTTGTGCGTCGTTGAGTCTTGTGCTTCTTGACGCTGTGTCGTTCACGTGCCTTCATGGCCGCAGTGTAGAATGCATCTGTCCTCTTCACCGACCGTTCTTCGGTCTTCTCCAACAATTGCGTCAGTTGAGAAGCGTGGCGGAATCTCCGCGTCTCTTCCAAATGTTGTTTCTCTTGCAGTAAAGCTGTTAGTTGGTTCTCTCGATCATGACGCAGTTCACGCATCATCTTCTCGGACACTGATCGCTGGGCTTTTTCCACGACTTCACGCTCCTTAGCTTCACGACGAGTCTGCTCCTTGACAAGTTGGATCTGATTCGAGTAGAAATTCTCCATTGCTTGTTCTCGTTCGGCGTGTTCCTTCTGAATCTGCTTGAGCATGGACGTCGTCATTCGATGTTCTTCTCGAAGTTTCTCCTTCTCCAGATCCAGCAAGTGACTCATCGCTTGACGTAGCTGTTTCTCCTCTTCGTTCTTGGCTTCCAGTCCGATAGCGATACGATGCAAACGCACGTCTTGCTCGAAGCGACGAGATCGGATCTTGTCGACGTTGGCCATGTGTTCACCGGACTTGAATGCTCGTTCCAAGTGCTGGCGTTGAGAAGCTTCTCGCTGACGCAAGTCTTGTAGATGGTTCTTCAATGACAGTTTGTAGCGCAAGAATTGTGCTTGAGCTTTTGATGTGGCTGCATGATGTCTTGTCTTCGGTAGCAACGGGTAAAGCGACTTGGATGGGTCACGTCGTGGTCGAGAAGTGGACGGCCGTTCAGGAGCATGAGGCTCGTTTCGCGCGACTTTTTTCTTCACTGGGCTGGTCGTCAGTTCGTCGTCTTCTTCGGCTTCCTGGTGGTTAGCGCTCTTTCGTGGAGTCGAAGGCTTCGTGTTCTCGTTTGGCTGAGTATTTTCACCATCCTCATTTGGTTCGGCAGCAGCTTGATCGCTTTCCTCAGATTCCTCTTCGATGCTAATTGAGGAAAAGTTTTGTGCGAAAACTCCTTCATCGTCCATGAAGTGCATGCTCTCGTCGCTGTTGTGTTGCACTGAGGACACCCCTTCAAAGAAGGCACCCTGTTTATCAGACGACTTGTTCTTGTTTTCGTTTTCTTGAAGTTTATCTTCGTCCGGACTGGAACCGCCAGCTGCGACAAAGCGTCCGTACGGCTTCGTTTCTATCAGATCCTCGTTGACTTTTTGCTGCTTTCGTCCACTCGCCGTCTTCGCTGCAACTCGAGATCCACCGCGTACCCCTCTATTAGTCGGTTCCGCCACCCTGCTACTGCTACTCGCCTTAAGCGATTTCTCCAACAGTCGAGACCGCTTCTTGTTATTCTCCGCGATCGCATCTGCTCTGCTCTTCCCACCCACTGACGTTCTCCTTAGCTCCTCAGCATTAACAGCACGTCCAATACGAACTTCTTCTTGCTTCTGACTCCCTCTGGACTGCGACATACTCCTCGTCCCGATCTCCTTCTTCCGCTTCGGTCTCGACCTTGTCCCGGGGTCGCTCTTCGGTGTGCTCTCCTTTCTCTGCTTCTTAGCAAATTTCGGTGGCACACGCCGTTTCGTCATTGTCGCATGTACTTCCGTTGCAGCCATCCCGAGACTGGCGAAACTCACGTCTCTGAGCTTCTCCCCGACCTCCTGACTCTCCTCAAACAGCAGCAAATAAACCTGCTCCAGCATCGTCAGCAGTCGACGGATGCTGCCCAAGTCTCCAGCACAGAGATTTACTCCTGTTAATGTATCAGCCGCGTCGTCATCATTGACCTGATCCAATAGAGCGCTCCGTAGCGCGTCCGTAACGAGTTGCGCATTGTGCTCATAATCTTGTCGAGTCCGCGGTACGCGCTCCACGTCGCGGAGGCGGAACTGAAAGAGCTTTTCGTATAGTGCAACGCTCATGGATGACACGCTAGCCACGAGGTCGGCGGCGTTGGCGAACGCGCGGTCTCCGAAGCCTAATTTTGACAGTAGTGCATTTGTGTCGAGAAGGAGTTGGTCCGCTGTGGATATCGCCGCTTCTACGGGGTCAATAGGTGTAGAAACTTGTGCGTTTTGTGGAGGAGGGGCATTAACGTGCGGTGGTGATGCCGACATGGTACTATGAGCAGTATACGCGACGTATGCGCGCGGTTAGGAGGTTGCCAATCCAGGAATGACAATGGAGCTCTTCGCGTTTTTGAATTGGGATTTTCAAACATGGAAAAGCGGGACTGTACAGTCCCTACTGATACAGACTAATCTACTTGTATTTTGTAGGACTCGGTGTGCGACCGGGAGAAATGAGGCAGTTACAATTATAGAATCGGTGACACTAGGCGTTTCGAAACCTCAGCAAGAGTACTGTGCAAAGAGGGTTAAGTACGAACATCTTCAAGTTGAACTCGATAGTTCTCCTCATGCTTCATTCCTCTCTTGACTGCGGAGGCTCGATGAACTGGACGAAGCGATGATGGTGATTCTCCCACCAGCGCTCTGCCTCCACCTCGGTCACTTTTTCTCGATCGAAAAGCACAGCGATCACTTGTTCCTCCAGCGTGTCTTCTCTCCGACCCACATGCAAAGCGACTCCATCTCTTCCTGCTCTGCGATCTGTCTTGCGGTACATCGTACTGAGCTCGAACTTGGATGCGTCTTGTAGTATTAACCTCACTTTTGTCTCGCTCGAGTCGAAATCTGCGCGTCTGCCTCCAATTGTCGGCTTTGCACTCCAAGCAGGTAGATTTTCTAAAGGCTTTTCTTCTTCTTCAGCTACTTCGGCTTCTCCGTTAGAGTCGCTGCCTCCTGCTTCATCGCTAGTGTGCGGTTCACTTTCCGCCTGTTTTTCAGACTCTGGTTGTTGAATTTCACCAGTAGAGCTCCGACTAGTAGCTAGAGATGCTTGCAGCTCCGACTTCATGTTGTCCAAGAGCTTGCAAGACACTCCTACAGGTTGAGAGATGGATGCACTCTGCAGTGCTGTCTTTTTCTTTTGTCGTCGATGATGAGATAGTCGCGGCACTTTCGGAAGAGGTTTCTCCTTCAAGAGAGTTGATCCACTTTCTCCTACACGTCGACTACTCTCACTTCGCGTGAAAGATCTGCTACTGGAAGGAGGCGTGAGCGTGTCCCTAAAGTATTTATCTCCCGAGTATGTGATACGGCGGATTAGCTTGGGCTGAAACGTGAGTTCTCGCTCGTACTCTTGTGTCTGTCGCTGACGTTCAGCTTCCATTTTATCCTGTTTTTTCTTAAGCCACTCCATCTGCCGCTCCAGTAAAGACATTTCAGCGAACTTTTTAGCGATCGCAGCCGTCTCCTTACCGAGTTCTCGACGTGACAAGTACCCTGCGCTCGACAGAGGTCGAGGTCTCTTTGCCACTACAGGAAGTTCGATTTCGGGGTTCAAAGCTTCGACGGACCAAGACGACGCGTTGTTGCTGTCGAAATCGGCACCATGAGTGCTCGCATTGCTGCTGATTTCGCTGTTCTTCTCATCGGAGAGGACAATCAAGTTCTTCCCAGGTCGCAGCTTCCCGCGACTAGGACTCGTTAGCGTTGCATCGCGAGCTTTTGTCTGTACAATAATTCCCGCGAAGCAGGGGAGATCTCGGAGCTCCATCACAATATGCCTCCAACACTTGCACTGAGCTCGTGGGTGCGAATCCCCTCGTTGAATGTGCCTCCGAATCATCTGACCACGTCAAAGACTAGTTAGATATCGCCACAGCTGCATATCAAAGTATTTACTCTCTTCCTTACCTCTTCTGTTCCATCGTCAGGAATGATAACTCGACTTGTCTCATCACGTAGCCAGTGCTCAACTAACCGAACTCGTTGATGCCACCAATTAGCATCTGCATTCAGGTTACTCAAGTCCTCAGCAACAAACTTGGTCTGTCGATGCACGATAGTACGTCAAGCCAAGTACATTCAGACAGCTCGAATGATAGCACCATTTACCATGCCCTCGACGAGCGTCGCTTCATTCATCGCAAGTGTCTGCACCATTTTGGCGGTGCCCGTTCACACGAGCCAACGTCGTGTAGGGCGAGAAAAAGGTTCTCGAGCTTTTTCAAGAGTATAAATAAATGCTCAAGCATTTTTGCACTACAGCGAGTTCACTATTTCTGGTGGAGATCTTCGTCGTTTCTGGTTTAGAAACACAAATTGTTTCCACAGTTTTTTTTTCTCATTGAATATCGCTGCATCTTGATCATCAACCCAATAGCTTCTCATCTCACCTACAGCGATGCCGACTATGCTGGCGACAAGATCGATCGCAATTCCATTAGCGGCGTGGTAATGCGTGTAAATGGTGCTGTGGTCGGCTGGCTCTGCAAGAAGCGGACTACCGTGGCCATCTCTACTATGGAGCGTGTCGTGGTCATCACCGGTACGTGAACCGGTGTCTCAGCACGCACCGGTAACCTCAAAGAGCTTCACCTTCGGATCTTCCACTTTTCTTGAGCAGAAGAAATGATCTCAATTCTGGATTCATGTGGTCGATCTCGTCCTTGGTTTGCACTACCTTGTACATCGTCCGAATAGCGGAGATCATGCGCTTCGTAGTCGGGAGATGTGGCAGGAATCGTTGACTTCTCATAATCTCGTGCTGGCCTTCATCTCTCAGTCGTTCACCCTGTACCATTTGCTGCTGAGCCTGAGTCATCTTGTCCTTCAACTCGATGATCTTCTTGACTCCAAGTGTCGCTGCGTCCAGCTGACCCGCAGAATCGCGGAATCCGTCCACGATCTGCATCGTGTTTGTTCCGTCAGACAGCAGCTTCTCTCCGACAGCGTACTTCTCTTGTCCACTTATCAGAATCTGCTTTCCTTCCTCCTCACGCTCAGTACGCTGGACCAATCCGTGCGAAAGCGCGTTGAGCATCCACCGAGCCATCGCCATAATGATCCGCATGTTCCCAAGCGCAGGAGGCAACGTGTCTTCGATTTTGTACGCGCGGATAGCAAATAAATGTGCTCTCTCCATAATCATCAACACCTCGCAGGCACGAACCTGCAGGAAATAGGCGAATTGTCGATCGCTTAATGGCAATTCGTCAACTGATCCTCGATGTGGGGACTGCTGCAGCATATTGTGCTGCGTGTGATTGTCTTTTAGCACCCACAAGCCTTCAAACGGGTTCTTGATGGTCGTGTGCCTCATCACAACGCCTAAAGAATTGATAGAAGCGTTGTCGGCATGTCCAAAGAACCCCACAATTTCTTCTCGATTGCTGAAAAAGTCGCTGTGGACCTCGAATTTCGACCCTTTCTCACAATGGCCAAACCACTTTGAATACCGCCCGACACTCGTACCGAAGCGTAGTCCATAGATTGACTGGGAAGCAAAACCTTCGATGCTAACGAGTTTCTCACCTCTGCCCAGCGAAAAGACCTCATGAGTTCCGAACGGATTCCCATGTATCGAGCCTTCAATATTCGCTTGTCCGCTTGCCTTGAGCACGACACAGATCCCATCCACTTTCTTGCCGCAAATGATACCAACTTCACTGATACTGCCGAACGGTGGCACTTTGTCGTGCGTGAAAGGCTTCCCTGCCGTCGTACCGAAAAGACTGGATGAACGTTCTGCGTGTTTGTGCACCGCGCGTTCACTGTACGCAGCCAGCATTAATCGCTTCTCCAATTGCAATCGTAAGCGAACTTCGTTCTCGTGGTCTTGAAAAAGCTTCTTTAGTGTTGGAGAGCTGATCGCTGTCTCCCGCATTAACTTTCGGGTGTGAGTCAATTGAGCTCTTAGGTGCGAGGATGGTAATCGTTGTTCCAACGCGATGATTTTACAGTGATACGTATCCAAATCGACCATGCATTGCCTCCACAGATATGGCAGAAGAGCGCAACGTTCTGCGTAGGTGTACTTAACCTTGACTCGGTTCTTAAGAGCATGAAACACTGTGTGCATCGACCATATTTCACGCTTCCGGCGAGATAATTTGACGATCGTTTCTCGTGCTTTAGAGCACTGCGCGAACTGTATCCATCTTAAAAAGATGCTTCGGAACGAATTGGCGGGTGAGTTTCTGGTGCCTGCGAGCCGCAAGGACTCGGAGCTGCCATCGAACAGATCTTGTTCTTGCATATAATTCTCATACTTCCACATGAGTTTTTGTGAACGCTGAAGCTTTTGCGAGAGTCTTGGCGACTGGAACTTCCACTTCCAGACAGCATGCTTCAATAGCGTCTGAAAGGCATGATACTTCAGCTTCTGTTTATAAAATACACCCATGTTCCTTTCCCAGTACATGAAGCGATGGCAAAGACGAAGCCAGTTGCGGATCTGTGCACAATGGCACAGCATACTCGTGTACTTCATCATAACGACGACACGGAGGCTACGAAAGCTTGATTTCAGCTGTTGTCGTGCTTGCTGCTGCAGCAAAACATCGTAGACATTATCCATCGCATCATGCAGACGATGTGCCCGTCGCCGCATAATTTGCTGCACTTGCTGCATCTGCGCTGCCTTAATCTTTAAGGTTGCGCTGGTTTCCAAACGCAGAAAAGCATCTTCATTGGCTTGCTTTTTAGTCAGCAGTTGCTCCCGTCCACGTATTGTTTCTTTTCGCACGGCATCGCTCTCCATTGTTGAAAGAAGGTCTTGACGAAGCTGTAGAGCTCGAACCGGGTTATTGGCAATAGCTAGAAGACGCCACTCTCGGTCTTCACGCCAGTGCAAAACAACTTTTTCTCCAGTTTCCTCCGCTTCATCATCCTTCTTCACAGGCTCAACTCCGTCTTGTGTTGCTGGGGGGAGCTTGTATACAGTGCCTATCATCCACTGACGGAAACGAGAGCTCAGCACGTGGAATGCGCCCAAGTCAGTAGCAAAACGGTTGATTTTGCCTTGGTGTACCGTTGTCCGCAAGTACTTCACAAAGATACGACCAAAGCGTCGATAAGCAATCACATTACCGATCATGTTGATACGATCCCGTTCGCGATATTTCAAATACATCCCGAGACACAAATCGTAAAGACGACTTTTACGTTTGATCTTCTTTCCCAACTCCGTCTCCATAATTCTCGTCAAAGAGCCTGCAACCGCACCGTCATTCGAGTCGACGTTTAAATCATCGGGATGTAAATGGAGTTGAGAAGACTCGACATGGTGCTCATCGTTTGCAGTAAGATATGATACAGAACCCCGAGTATTCCTGACACCTGCCGTCGATCCTCTTCCATGCTGAGGTGGCTCATACGTCGTCATTGGGAGACTACGGCGTGTTGCTGATACTTTCGAGGGCTCGTTATCAGTTGGATAAAACGACCCACGCTGTTGAGCTGCCCGGTCATGATTGACTGTTCCCTTATGATGACGTTGGTGTTGATGTGCAAGCGCTTTGGCTCTCGCGGTAGCGGAGAATTGACCTAAGAGGCTCATGTACTTGCGCTGCTTCATATCCCTCTTCAAAATCGAGTAATAACGCAGAATATAAAACGTCACCCTCACCATGTAAAACTTGTGTAGTTGCTGAAGCGTATTCCCGTGGTTTTTCCAGATCTGGCGTATTAACCGCGAGCGTTGGAATCGATCTTTCCAGGTTGCCCAGCAAATACGGCGAATTTTCTTCAGTTTCTTGTTTCGCATGCGTGTAATTTGTTTTTTATTCCATTGCTTCGTTTTGTACCTCAGCTTCAATGCACGAAAGTTTCGTAGCTGAATATATGTGCGCAAAACATTCATCAGGAATTCGGTTTTACCACGCGCAATGATCATTTGCTGGAGATGACGCTTCCAAACGTAAAATGGCCAGAAGCTGATGCGATAGAACGCGTAGTGTTCATGCAGCTTGCGGGTCATATACTTCCAGGCAACAAACTTACGCAATACGTATTTGCACAGGAGTCTCGAGCGCTCAGCAAATGCTCGCCAGTCATAGAAAATCTGCTTCTTCATGCGAAAACGAAAAATTATTTGTCGCTCAGGCCATTGGTCGATTTCAAATTGCTCCCAGTACCGACGGATACTTTGCTTGATGATATCTGCTGCCAAGTCATGATACAAATATGCCGCCGCGGGAACCTCGACGCTCTCGAAGTGCCCATTTCGCGAGAACTTCTGAAGAAGTGTCGACAAGATCACCTTGATACTTAACTTTAAAGGAGCACTATTCGTCGTCTGTGCTTCTGGCGTTTGAGTCAAATCTGAGTGCTGCAGTCTGGTATCATGTTGGAGTATCCGTCTTCGCTGTGGTTTTCGGAATATGACGTCTAAAAATTGAGATCGCATGTGTTGTCGCTGTTGTTCGTTCTCCCACGGAATGTCTTTTCGGTCACATTTAAACTGCTGCAAGACATCGATCATATGCTTAGCTGATGTAGCTAAGCGTTGCCGAACTGGTGTTGAGCGCAATGAAATCGTTATGAGCAACCAGCAATATTGAGGCGTAAAATACACAATACCTGGACATACCTTTCTCTTCCAGTGCCTCTAGTTCCCGGGTATAAATGTCTTTTTCCTGCCTTTGTCGAAACTTCTCCCTGTCGAACTCACGTTTCCATCTCGAAGCCTCTAGAGGGTCAACGGGATGGAAGATCTGACGGAAACCCTCAAAGGATAAAACCGCTTTAGATTTGGTCCGTCCTCGTATCAAGTGTTCCTCTTCATCACCTTCTCCATTTGTTTCTTGTGTAGCGTGTACTGCTGCCACATGTTCTTCAAGTATCTTTTGGACTTTGGCTGCGTCGTTATTGCCAAGTTGAACATCCGAAAGTTGCAGGAATTTCACAATCTGATTGACCGTCATATCCCCACTTCCTGTAAATGCGATTTCAATCGTATCCCACGACCTGAACAATCGTTTCTGCAGTTGAGTTTCCACAAAGTGATGCAAGTCCGTCAGCCTTTTACGTCGCTTTAGTCCGGGGGTCTGAACCTTCGCCTGCAATCGCGTTGCTGAAAAGCCAAAACTCGATGACTCTTCCTCTTCCTCATTATTCTCCTCTTCTTCAGGCGCTTCAAGCCCTCCTCCGTCCGTTAAAACTGATGGCCGCCTCCTGTTCATCACCTCTGATCCCGTCTCGGTAGTCTCAGGCGTCACACAACTCGGCACCGAAGGCACGCCCGTCAAAAAGATACCACTAGCATCGTCGCCAGTGTCCAATATTACACAATCTCCGATGCTAAATCCCCATTCGTTGCTGCCACTGTCCACACCACTCAATGGTATTTTCTCTGCGTTATCCTGCCACTGGCTCCAAATGGCGTCCACCGTCTTCTCCACCGATTGTTGATCGTTAAAATCACCCGGTCCTGCCATGGGCCAGAGGCCAAACCTGCTTAAATCCTTCCACACCTTCTCTCTGAGTCTTTTCCTTCTGTCTACATGTCCTAATCCGTCGAGTTTCCTGATTCTCGTACTATGACGCCGCCTCGTGGTGTTCTTAAGCACCAAAGCTCCCATCTTTCTCACTTTACGCTCCTCTTCCTCCTCTCTCGAGCCTAATCGCGACACCTTAGGCGTAGTAAACTGAGCTCCGTCATCGTGGCACTTCACTATCCCTTCTCGTGGCGCTCGGCTCACCATATTGCGCTGGATACGCGCCGCTACAGGGTGTGACTCAGGAAGCAGCACGGGAAGGTCGAACCAGTTGGGCACCGCTAGCTCCCGACGCCCCGCCCGTCTCTGCGTGGATCCAGGGCCCTTCCGCGCATACAGGACCGTACGCTTAGGCGAATTCTCGCCGGAAACAGGCCTTTGAGCGAGTGTGGGCTCCGCTCCTGCGTCTTCTAAGACATCCGTCATCCAGTGCGGAATTGAGATTGAAGCGTCGTCAAAGGTAAACATGTCGACCATCACTCTCGGACGATAGGTATTGGATGAAAACATCGAATAATTTTGACCAATGGATAAGAGACCACGAGCTAGATGACTCCATTTACCACAAGGGGGACAAATCTGGAAGAGATGGTGGAGATCATCCTGGACCCGAGCATCCGCGATTGGGTGGTGCTGCCCATGGTCATTATCTTCGGATGCTCAGCCATGGTGCGCCACTATGTCACGCTGCTGCTCAAGAACGAGAAGATGGCTAGTGTCGAGCAACTTACGCCCATGTACGTCAGCAGCTAGAGCATTTAGGAGGCGGTTGCTCGCAATACTTTGAAAATAATGAAGAAGAACTCACGGGTATTTAATTGCGGTCTTTGACTGACAGGAATACGGTGAAGCGTGCGCAGATTACGCGCGTCAATTCCAAGTTCATCTCGCCCGATGCCTTCGCCATGCGCAGGGTGAGAAATGAAATGCTGCAGTACAGACTATTAGAAAGAATGACTGACGTGTACTCAATGGCAGCACTACTTCACAGCGTCGCAGAAGAAGGACGGCTTAAAGGGCGCACTGCGTGAGAAGGTCAAGAGCGAGGCCATGAACCAGATGATGAACCCCAACTCGATGCTGGAAATGATGAAGGGCAACATGACTTTCATGGTATCCAACTTCGTCATGATGGGACTCATGAGCTATTTCTTCGGCGGATTCGTGCTCGGTGCGTTGGCTCCACGCTTTGTCGCACTCTATCGTTTTCTGATTGGCACAATGTGGTCTTGCTTTTCCTCAATCACAGCGAAGGTGCCGTTCTCGCTGACCCAGAAGTTCAAAATGATGCTGCAGCGTGGCATTGAGCTCAAGTAAGGACTGATATTCCATTGGTGATCACCCAAAGATACCCCGGCTCACCGTGTCCTTTGTTGTTAATGTAAATTGCAGCACCCTGGATGTGTCATACGTCTCCTCGGTATCCTGGTACTTCCTCGTGAGCTTCGGTATGCGCGGTTTCCTCTCACTCATCCTCGGCGAGAAGAGCGGTAAGTTTTGTGTTGAATTCCCTTTACTTAAGGACAAAGATATAACGACGGCTTCGTCATCATTGCCGCGTCTTACAGCTAGCGACGACACAAAGGCCATGCAGATGCAGATGGGTATGGGTGCCGGTCCCAACATGGCGTTTGACGCGCCCAAGGTGTACAAGCAGGAGCGCGTGAGTCTCCGTCTGCACAACCACGACTGGGCACTGGAGTTCGCCGAGAAGAAGCTGTTGGGTGAGCCTATTTCAGTGAAGGCCAAGAAGTCCGCTGCCTCGTCGTCCATCATCTCAACAACCACCACAACCACGGAGAAGCGGTCGTCCAAGTACACCAAGATCTCCAAGAGGAAGTAACGCATCAATCTTGCAACGTCAGCAGAGCAGATTCGATTGGTCAAAACGAAAGTAATTTCAGCGAATCATTTCTTTGATGACTGCTAATTGGTGCATAATATGGTTTTAATGCTGTGATTGGCGGCAAATCCAATTCTGGTGGTTCTGTACTTTGCTGAGGCAAGATCATTCGTCGACTCGCTCCTCGCCGCACACCCCGCCACTATGGACGTCATCCGCAAGTACCTTAAGTCGGACCTGCCGCGTTATCTCAAGGGCCTGCCACTTCCTCGCACGTTCTCGGGGTTCCTAAAGCTAAAGCAGGACGAATGGATGTATCTGGCGCCTCTGCTCATCACCATCTTCGTGTTGGGACTCACGCTGTTCGCCGGCAAGAACAGCTCGAAGCCTGGGCGCGTGAACCACAAGATACAACTGGAGAAGGAAAAAGTCGTGGACTTTGTGTCGATCCCTGACGTAGAGGACGTGATCAAGAGCAAGGGCAAGTGCACGGTGTGCCGCTGCTGGAAGTCCAAGAAGTTCCCGTACTGCGACGGCTCCCACATGAAGCACAACAAGGAGACGGGTGACAACGTCGGCCCGCTTGTTCTCACGGCCAAGAAGGCCTAAGTGTGGCTGTAGTTATGTATGACTGATAGCTGCTTGCTTCGGATTAAGCAAACTGAAGTCCATTCGCATGTGATTTCTTCTCCCTCTTGCGCTAACCTGTAAGCATTTGAGCTCGTGTGACCAAACAAGCTGTTGCTCATGTTAAGTGAAGTAATCAGTGATGGCGAACTCGATTAGACTTTGAAATACCCCGGCTCACGTTGACATCCTTAGGCGCATGAGTCAGCTTATCAATGAATCTGTACTGCAGTGTTGCCTTGTTGCCATGAGCGTCGGGGCTTTTTGCGTGTTGAAGAGAGCTCAAAAGCTATGGGCGAAAATGACACCGCGTTTGGTGACCACCGTTGCTTCAGTGCAGCGATGCTCCATCACTGGAGTCTGGAACAGAGGAACTTCAGCGTTGCTGAACGATCGTAAGTATGTCGGAGTAACTCTGTGTTGACAACAGCAGCACTGTTGTATCGATGAGCCAGTAGGCTGTCGATTGCAGAACCAGCAGTACAGTACAGTGAGTGTTTTGTGGAGATACGCTTCGAGTTGATGGCTCTGGCTTGGTACGTGTGACACCGCTTGTAATTGGAGAAGGATACCTTAGCAAGCTGATTGAGTCCGGGTCACTCTCGGTCTCGACTACAGTAGCCTGCACCAACCGGCTGGCATCAACATGTGCTCTAGCTTTTGACGGTTAAAGTTCGCCGCCATCTCATCGAGCCTCGTTTGGAGACGAACAGCAAGCTGCACGCCCTATTCAGATTCAGATCGCATCAGCCTTTGCCCGACTTTGGTTCTTAAGGCTATTACACCATCGAGTCGACCTCCATCCGAGTGAGCTCGCTTCCAGCCCTTCCTCGCCCACAATGGGATGGGAGCTGCCCGTGAATTTCGAGCGTGATTAGCACCATCATCGACCACGCCATCGAAATTGTAAAAGCTCCTCTACCTGATACCGATAACCTTCCATCACTGTACAGTACACGCACTGCGAGTCTCGCAATGGTCTCGGCGACTTTGTTGACCGATACGTCGCTGAGCGCCACAGGCTCGACAAGTGTGTCTTCACTTGAGCTGAAGCCACGTACGCGGCCCCGTTTGTGGCATTTATCAACGTGGAGTCGAGGCGCACGTGCGCTGCAAAGTTGGGGCCGAGCGTCCCGTTGCACCTCACCAGCTGCCCAAACTCGAAGTGGCCAAATGCTCCGTGCACAGCCTGGGCCGACAGACGCGGCGGTCCCGCCGGCGTCGAGGATCCTGCACTGCAGGACCTGCAGCCACGCACGCGCTTCATCCTCTCTCGCATTTTCCCGCTGGCCGTCAGGCACTGAGTGAGTGAGCTGAAGCTGCGCCCGGTGCATTTGTACATAGCTATAGTCTCCGTTCAAAAGACTCACCTGACGCGACCGGCACCTTGAAAAATCGCGGTGACCTCGGGTTTTCATCGGGTGCGTGTTCTCACGGCTTACACAGTTCCAAAGCAACCTTTTGCCGATTATCGAGTGATCTACAGAGCATGGAGATCCAGCAACGCAAACGGGTGGCCATCACGTCGTCCTTCTTCCCTGTGGACGAGAGTCTGTTACCCCAATTAAATATCTCGCCGGCGCAGCATGAGGAACTGCGTCGATATGCGCTTCAAGCGGCTCTAGACACGGTGCGGGACGGACCGACGTGGGGACGCTCCAACATCGAGCGCGCTGTGTCCAGCGGCTGGAAGGTGCTCTCGGCTCGCCCCACAGCCTGCTTTATGACTAAGCGGCAAACCAAGAAGAAGAAGAAGAGCAAACGGCAGACCCAGCAACAGTGCGAGCAGGTGCAAGAAGAAAATGATAAACGGGTGACTCCTCCAACCCCGCGCGTCACTATCCCGGGCGTCACAAGTCTCGGCAGCTTCCACGGTACCGACATCGTTCGAGGTCAGAGGAGCTTCCAACCATTCGCCCGTGTACCCTTGGAAGCCGCCAGTGGACAGCACTTTATGGCTCATGCAGTGCTGCCAAACTCCCTGGAAGACGTCATGAATAAGCTGTACTGTGAACATACACGTGAGATGCGAGCGTTGAAGCGGAAAGTATACGGAGAAGCAGCTTTGGATTGCTGCGTGTTACAGACTCTCGAAGGCGCTACATTGGAAGACCCGTTCTGGTATTTAGGACTCAAGTGGTTGGCTCTACGCTCTCCCATGCAAGCGTTGATGGCGAGTCGCGAGTTTGTGTATCTTGAACATCTAGGTACACATGTGGACCCGGAAACAGGACGTCGAATGTTGTATCGAGTGACTCAGTCCGTGCATGTTCGAGGATATGGCGGACAGGACTCGTACTTCGGTCTGACACGTGGACATATTGAAGCTGCTTTCGTCTACTGGATGGATGACGAAAACGAAGTGAGAAACCCTTTGTTGCACGTGTGTGCTAAGGGCAGAATCCACATGAAGGGAAGTATGCCGGACGCCATTGTGTACAAGTATCTTAAGGCATTCTGGCGCTCAGAACGCTCGCTATTCCCTGCCAACCGATCGTCTGGGTCCTCATTTGGCATAAGTATGACCGACCAGGACGGTGTCGAACAAGTACCGAAGAAATCGTCCACGAAGAAGAAGAGAAAGTCCAGACGTCGCAAGGTCCCAACTGGTCCACCGCTCGAGATGGCGCACGAATGGGTCGCTGACGAGCTTCGTCCACGTTGTTCCGTGTGCAACAAGAAATTTCGTCTAGTTAGACGCTTCAAGCATCATTGCCGTGCTTGCGGTGAAGTTATCTGTCGTGAGTGCACGTTCCATTACCGCGTCAATGTTCGAGCTACTCAGAGCTTTCGTGGCTTACGAGGAACCATAGCAACACCGGTGGACGTTGCTGCGGACACTAAAGCACTCGAGGATGAGCCTCCATCCACGAAATTTGACGAAACAATGACTTGTAGCTTTGATAATCAAGTGGAAGAGGAGGAGAGCAAAGGTGGGGAATTCAACGCGAGTTTGAGTTTAGTGAATGCAAGGAAAGCGGTCAACGGACCACTGGAGACGGCGGTGCTTGGTGGTGACTCGATCGTGTGCGTGGTGATGGCCAAGGTGTGTCTACGTTGCTTACACAGCGTGCCGATCGTCAACAAGTCCTCGCAACGACGAAGACACAGCGAGATGGCACTCAATGGATCGCTCCCTGGAGGCATCAGCGAGACCGATCCAGACTTTGGTTTGAGTGGAGATTGCGGTCTGCGTCCTCAAACATGGACGCCAGACAACCGAGAAGTGGAAGAACTTGACGGTCTTGATGACGAACCAGGTCAGAGTGGACGTGAGTTGGACCTCCCGATGCTGGTAGTGGACGATGAGGACAATGAGAGTGTCGATGGTCTTGCTGAAATGAAACGCAGACCGGGATCGTACGCGTGCGACGCGAGACCGGGGTCATCTATGTTTGTTCGGCCTGGTTCCTATGCTCAGGAATGGAATGGGCAAGAGGATGGAGCCCTGGATAGTCATGCCAACCACGAGCGCGTAGTAATTCTATCGCCTCACGCGCTGTCTACTTCGTCCTCTGTTACATCAGCACAGTTGATTGAGTTTATGGATAAGGACGAGAGCAGCTACAACAGCAGCCAACACAGTGGCGACATCTCCAGTGACCTCGACAATGAAGACAATGACTCCATCCAATTCTACCCGACGCAGACGAATTGCCTCCCGGACGAGGAGTCCAAGCCACCGGCTGAAGAATGTCAAGGACGTGTGAGTAGCTACACGGCAAACTTCGACCCGAACAACCTATTCGAGCTGAAAGATGAGGAAGATGAACTCGCTTCTAGCGCTGCTACAGCGAAAGCCACTGTGAGCGCTACCGAGCGAGTGTTGCGTCGTATGCGCGACCTACAGGACGAAGCCCTGTACCAAACCCGCCAGATCCCGTCGCCGTCGCCGTCCACGACTTCGTTGTTCAGCGAAGACGACGACGCGTGCAGCGAGATCGACGAGCCCATGCAAGATCTCCGTCAAGCACTCGCACAAGTGGAAAGCTCGTTGGCAGATCAAGCTCGTATCCTCTTTACCATCGAACAGGAACGCAAAAGGGAGGCAGCAGCAGCAGTCTCCACTGTTACCGCTGCCAAGGTATAAGACCAGAGCGTTCGTATATGGTTGAGGCGTACCGGAGTGCGTATGAGAACATTTAATTCACTGTATTTCGTTTTTTTTTAATCAAGCGTAAGCTAGAATTTCTGTCATGCTACGACGTGGTCGTTTGTACTGTAGTACGTTCTTGTAGTTGTCGCTCACTATGCTACAGGACACCAAGACGACTCTAAGATGAGCGCATGGAGAGCGGGGTGAACTGTGCGTCGGCTCTAGGTGTCGGCGCAGTTTGGGTCGAGCCGGGGTACAGCAAAGAAGATCGTGCTTCCGACGAGATCTCGCCGGCTGTTGTGGCTGCTGTCTTGCCGGCTGTGTCGTCTTCCGGAGAGCGATTCATCTTACTGCGTTGCTCGGTGATGGATCGGATTAGCGCCTCCTGCTGGGCGATCGATCGCTCCACTTGTTCCAGTTGGTCGGGAATGGACAGTGACCGCAGCTTCGAGCTGCTCTCAGACTGACGTGCAGTGGTGGATGGTCGACGAGGAATCGACGGCGGGATGGCATCGCTCTGGTTGGTAGAACTCACCACTCGTCCACGACTTAGACGATTGTTGTCTTCATCTTCGCGCTTCGGTGTTGGCAGTAAGAAATCGTCGAAGTTGAACGTACTGTCGCCTCCATTAAAGAGATGACTGGGTCTAGCTGGAGGAGACTCGGCTCCGTTGTTCAGGTCGTCTTCGTCGTAGAGAAGAATACTGCGACGCAAGTTTTTCTTCTTCTCTCGGGCCATGTGCATCTGCCGCATACGTTCAACACGAGCGGAGTACTCCTCGTCCGTCTCTTCGATGTCGTCTTCTTCGTCGTCTCCGTGAGCGTTGTTAATCAACTCATCGTCAGCTGCATAGCGTCCACCAGGGAAGAAGCCACGCATCGGTCCCGGTTGCAAGCCAATGTTGTCGGCTAGAGAGCCTTGTAGAACCAACGGGAACTGCTTGATCATGGTCGGCGCAGCGTAAAAGTTGGTGGCTCCTCTCATGGTTCCCTTCCGCTCCTGACGAATGTTGAACATGCACTTCTTGCAGAGCTTGACGTTGTTAACAGCCGGGTATCCGTTCGAGCGCGTCTCCTCCAGACTCTTCTTGGCTGGTTGCTTAAGCAACACACTCATGGGTCGACCGTCCAGTTGCTGGCCATGTCGATGCGAACGGCGACTGTCAGTGCCTTCCATGTCTTCGTTATTATCTGGACACGGCGCTGAAGATGGCGGCGCAACCAGAGGCAACGTGATCATGCAACGCGAGCACATGACTTCACCGCACATACGGCAGTGATGACGATGACGTCGGACGATGCCGAAGCTCTTGAAACACACAAAGCAGACCTTTCGTTGATGGTCAGGTACCCAACTTGGCTGCGGATTGATCGACATTCGACTCATTTCAGGTGTTGGCGTCATTCCGAACGACGCGAGGCCATGCTGAGAGACGGAAAAGGGCATCCCAGCGGGGCCGTGGGCTGTAACTTCAGAGCCACTCATGGTGCTTTGACTCTTGTCGACACTTTGACCCGAATGCGAATGAGTCAGCGCTGCTGGCGGGTGTGGGAAGACCATGCCGTGCTTCATAATGTACTTGATGTCAGCGCAGTACTCGATCCGCACAACTGTCGGCGCGAACTGAGAGAGGAAGGCGCTTCCCAGCCAGCTGCCGGCTCGACCGCCTGGATCCAACGCACCTTCAGCAAACACCTTGACGGCGTTCGTCGCCTCGTCGAACCTGTACATGGAGATCATCGAGATGTGGCCACGAACGAAACGTAACTTGGACGGGTCCACGCCGTCACCTGGTTTGTCGTGACCTACAAGTTGAGTCAACGGAGGTAACACGTCGTCTCCCACAGACTGCATGACCTTAACGAGCACCTTGTGACCTTCGTCGGTAGTCACCGTCTTGGCGTATTCGTAGTACGCGTGGTCTCTTGGAGAAAAGAACTTGGCTGGCTTACTGGGACTCGCGAACGCCATCCATTTGATGCCAAAGAAGCGGAACGGATCGTCCTCCGTCTGCGTCTCCAGTACTTGGAGCACTGCAGCGTCCAAGAAATAGTCACGGAACAGATACGCACTGATGGATCGTTCGTCCAGCGTCGTGTCGCTGTACTTGCCGTACTCGACGTCCTGTAGCGTGAGTGCAGGGATCCGTCCAGAAGCCACAAACTGATGCGCCGTCGCACTACGACGATGCGGGTCCTTACGCTTGTAGATAGCCAAATGTGGCTTCGCACTGTGAAGTTTCCACTGCTTGGGATCATCGAAAATCTGTTTGGTGCCGTCCCATGCCGCCTTGGACTTGAGCAAACAGCTCGCGATGAGTCCTTCAGCCTGTTCGCGCATGTCCGCCTGCTGTGCGTCCGTGAGCTCCACGCGCGGGATCACTTCGTCCATTCGTGGCTGTTTGGCGACATGTTTGTGCTTGGAACGACCAGGAAGCTTGAGCTTCCGGCGTATGGCTGCTCGCGGTTGCTGCTGCGACTCCACCGACACGCTCCCGGGGTTCCAAGAGGCCGCAGCGAGCTTGGACGGTCGCTGGATCTGCGACCTGGAGAGCGGCGCATCCGACAGACTCGAGTGATCGCTCTCAGCCAGCACAGGCTCGGACGCCCGATAGTCCAGCAGCACTCGGCCACTATTGCGGTCCATTACGCTGCAGCTCACACGCTTCTCCATATACCTGCGTGATCTTTCGGGTTCTTTACACTCTGATAGAGCGGTGACAAGCGTCCAGCTGCCGCTCGTGACTCTGGAATCCCGTTACTGCGCGCGGCTGGGGATGATAAACTGACTGACGGCTGCAGCTCCTGGACTGTAACAATGACAATGTGGGTGAGTATTCCATCGAGTTTGACTATAATTGTATGTTGCATTTTTACTATACTTTGGAATGTTGCAGTCGTACCGATCGGAGACTTTGCTGTTCACCGCGTCGATTGCGAAATGAACGAGGGGGGACCGAGATTCGACGTAGCGACACGTTGTCAACGAGGCGTTGAACGACAAAAAAAACCATAAGTGGTGCCACTCTCAAAGCGCCAACGTCTTTTTTGTATTGTCCAAGTATTCAGTCCAATGTCTTGACGGTTGTAAGGAACAATGTATTGCTCGAGTCATCGAAAATCGACGCTTTGGCTCGTTTAATAGTTCGAATCTGTCTTCCTCGCTTTCAACGAGAACATGCCGCTAAGAAGAAGGCGTTCAGTGCGGTGCCCATCGCAACGGCATGACAGACCAGGCTAAGGCTTCTGTGGCAAAGTTTGCGTGGACTGAAGCTCCGTTCGAAGCAGCGAGTGAGATGGTCTCCACTGCTGAACTCCAGTGCAACAGTATGAAAGTCTCGCATGACAACTTTGCTGCGTTCTGCCTATTTAGCCTTCCCAGCGAGCACCGCAACAGCAACAAAAAAGAAATCCGCGTTTGTGGGCAGGGTGTCAATAGAGCCTGGCTATCCAACGCTCCATCGGCGAAAAAAAGCAAGCGATGTCATGATCGAGCCACGACAAGAATATCGGAGACCACGATTAACAGTCAGTCGCACTTAATCAACGTGATGTGCCCCTTCACAGCCACACCAGATATGACGAGAAGTTCGTCACTCGCACTTAGGGGAGATCATGTACCCCACCAAGCGCACATGAATCCGATGTGGTGAACCTTCATTGAGATGAAGTCGACCGTGGCAGGCAGCTCCGAGCATGACGGCGCCGTGCGCGAGACGGCGTCGGACGCGTCGCTATGCAAACTCTCGGCCTCTCATCTAGGCTACTACACGGACCCTTTCGTCCAGTTCTTCGTCAAGGCGCCGTCGCGCCGCATGCCCATCATCAACCGCGGATACTACGCGCGTGTGGCAGCAGTCGAGTCGCTTGTGCGCAAGTTCCTGGGCGCTGGACAGCACAAGAAGCAGGTGGTGATATTAGGCGCAGGACTAGACACCATGTTCTTCCGCTTAAAGAACAGCGAAATGCTCTCTAACTGCGAGTACTTCGAGCTGGACTTCCCAGAGGTTACCATGCAGAAGGTGAGCACCATCAAGCGACGCAAGCCTCTTAACGGACTGCTGGGGCTTGAATCGCCCAAAGACTTAATGGCTGCAGTATCTTCAGGGTACACAGAGCTGAATGTACCCGGCTATCACTTATTACCCTGTGATTTGAGGGACCTACACGCTACCACAGCCAAGATGGAGGCAGCGGGTATCGATCGCAGCGTCCCGACACTGTTCGTGTCGGAGTGTGTACTCATCTACATGGAAGCCAAGTTCTCCACACAGCTGGTGGCTTGGGCTGCTTCATACTTTGACGATATAAGCTTCACGTTGTACGAGCAGATCTTACCAGACGACGCATTCGGGAAGGTCATGATGGCGAACATCAAGGCGCGCGGATGCGATCTGCTGAGTATCCACGACTTTCCGACAGTTGAGGCGCAAATCGCGCGGTTTACCGAGCACAAGTACGAGGTGGCTCAATGCTGGGATATGAACAAGATCTACTACCACTACCTGGATCCGGCTGAACGCGCTAAGTACGTGCTGAATGTGATACGATGGGCTATGACACTGTTGTTGACTTACCTGTTTACTATTCTGTTAGACGTGAGAAGCTCGAGATCTTCGATGAACTGGAGGAGTTTCATTTGTTGCAGGCGCACTACTGCGTTGTTGTAGCTAGCAAGAAGGCTTCAACTGTTAGTGCACACGCCTTGTCGCTGGGTGGAGCTCAAGCATAAAGCCTCGTGTGAAGACTATCTAAAGCAAATCTAACCTATACGTACTCGCTCTGCACATGTGGAAATGGAAAGCTGAATCAAATAAACAACCGCAAAACGGATAAAAGCGGATAGAATTGCTGTGGCTACCTATCTACCTACCTACATTCTCCTACTCACACACGTTTTAACGCGTACAAGTTGCTTTTTTCACCAATCGACTGACTTTATAGCCTCTTCGCTCCAGCATTACTCCCACCGCCTTCATCCTGTTACCTTCTTGTCCTCCGCCTCTTCCAGTCGTTCCTCCTAGCTTTCCTTTTGCCCCTGTTACCATCTGAGTATAACCACAGCACTGAAGAGATCATTTCCTTGCCATTCAACGCGTTTGCCACTTCAGTACTGGGGCGAGGTCGGGATCACTGAGCAACTTACTGACTGACGACGCACTCGTCCACAATGCGCGCGAATTTGTGAATGTGGTTGATAAAGAACTCGCCCGTGCGCTGGTTGCTCGTCTCTTCATCGATAAGGACCAAGTTGTTGTTCAGGAAGAAGTGCACGTCCGACTTGAGACGCGAGCCGCTGACCTTCAGAGCCATGAGCTCAGCACGAGCCAGCTCCACGTCCACGCCGCGGAAGGCAGCGAGCTTCTCCAGATCGATCGAGCGGTACAGCTTAATGTACGAGCGCACGGCCGGGATGTGCTGCTGACGGGTGACCATGTCGTTAAAGGCCTTCTGCTGTCGCTGCGACGCCTCGGCGCTGCGGTTTACGGGGCCTTCGCCCTCCACCGCCACGGCGGGCAGAATGAACTTGGGGCAAGAGAAGCCGAACAGCTCCGTCAGAGCCGAGATGTCGCCCTTCTGCAGCTTGCTCTGCTTGTCGCCGTATTTCTCGCGGATGAGCGAGTGGATCTGGTCGTTCACACGCTGGCCGGGGCACAAGAAGAGCGCGATGGCAAGCAGAGCCATCGCCTTCTCCGTCAGCTTGTGCAGCTGCTCGTAATCGGCGAAGCGCGAGTAGTAGTTACGGTTACGGTTCACCTGCAGAATAATGGTAGAGAAGGAGCGGATCGCAGCGGCAAAGTCCTCGAGCATGAGCTGAGCGAAGCCCATGTGGTAGAACACGGAGACGTGGCAGCCGGGGGACTTCTCGTGGATCTGAGCCGTCGTCTTGGCCTCACCACGCGAGCTCTTGTTGAAGAGATCAATGGGCTCCAGCAACTTAAGCGACGTGTAGTAGTCTCCGAACAGCACGTGAGCACGCGCCAACGTGATGAGACTGAAGTATCCGAGCTCCTTGACGACCTCGGACGGGACCCGAACGCCTTCTTCCTCCTTGAGGATTTCCACGATCTTTGAGTGACGCACCAGCGCGTGCAGATAGCCGAGCACCTTGCTGGTGTCCCAGATAAAGAGGTTTTCACTGTACGACGCGATCTCCTGCTCGCCCTTAGTAGCCACCTTGGCTCGGAACTGGCAGTACGACTGGTACTGGTAGACAAATTCGCCAACAATGTCAAAGACCCACTGCGAGGGGAGCGCTTCGAGCTCGAGCGATCCGTCCAACACGCCGTCAAAAATGGCTACATACGTCTCCCAGGACGCCACCTTCATGTCCATACCCGGCTGAAGACGAGAGAAGAGGTGGCGGAAGTAAATCTGTTTGTACAGCAGCAGGAATGTCGGGTCCTCGTCCACAAGCGACTCCACAGCGCTAGGCTCAGGCCACGAGGCCTGCTTAAAGTAATTGTTGGTCAGGTTGTGGAACTCACGGTCGTACAGGCGCGCCATCTCCGCCACGTTGCCCGAGATCAGGTGCGTGTACATGTGCGAGAACCAGCTCTTGACCGTCTCCGGCAGCAAAAAGTCCGCGGGCTTCTCGTCGCGGCGGTCCGCCATCGTTGCTGCTATCCCTCTTCTTGCTGGGCGTGCTGTTATGCCGTCTGGAGGCCGAAATGACTGGTTTTGGCTCGGACCCGCAGCCACGACCAGTTTTTTGTATCGGTGACATCCCTTCACTAATATTGATATTTGTAATCCAGGCTATTTGACTGGGATAAGGTCCTGCAAGAGCAAAAGTATCTTGGAGTTTGTAAGGGGTACGTTTTGCGTAACCTTCTTCGCGCAACATAATCTTTCTTCTCAGTTGAAGCAAGATGCTGCGCGATCATGGCGCCAAGTACACGCTAGTTGCGGACGATGAGGCGCCCACTGAGAAGATGGGAACACATCGACGACTAGGCAAAGGCATGGCCGTCCTTGTGGCCGTCGCACTGTGCGGTGTTGCAGCTGCTGTCACGCTCTTGACCGCCTTGAGGCGAGATGTGGCTTTCGCACCGCTAAGCGAGGAGGTGAATGGCTTCACATTGACAACGTACCCGCCACTAGTGGAGGACGGCGGCGACCTCGTCGTGTCTTGGGAGGGGAAGGCGTCGCCCCCTCTAACCAGTCGAGACTACTTGACACTGAGCTGCGGTCCTACAACAGGAGACGGAGACTATTTGTTGAAGAAAGGAGTGAAAGACACGGACGCTAACGACCACTCGGTCCGTTTTTCGGAGCTTTACATGATGAGGTGCAACTACACCGCTGTGTATTTCAATTATGACGAGAAGACGGACAAGTTCAAGCGTATTGCCAAGGTGGAGGCAGGCATGAAGGAGCCCTTCGAGACGCCTAAGCACGGTCACTTGAGTCTGACAGATGATGAGACATCGATGGCTATCCTGTTCAACTCAGGGTCCTCGAAGACGCCTATGGTCAAGTACGGGGAGAACCCGCAGGCTCTTAAATTCCATGCGACGGGAACGACGACGACCTACGGAGCTAAGGACTTGTGAGTGCACTTTATGTTTTGTGTATTGTTGTGGTACTGATTTTGGGTATTGTAGATGTCACGAACCAGCGAATGTTCTTGGCCAGCGAGCGTTCCGTGATCCTGGGTTCATGCACACGGTCATCATGACGGACTTGGAGCCGGACACGTACTACTACTACCAATACGGCCATGAAGAACATGGTCTGAGCCATGTGCGACGATTCAAGTCGCGGCCACCGAAGAGTACCAAGTACGCGAACTTTATTGCGTATGCCGACATGGGTGCGTACGTTGAGCCAGGCTCCGCGTCAACTGCTGGGAGAGTCTACGAGGATGTGATGGGAGGAGGATACGACTCCTTTTTACTGCACTTTGGCGATATCAGGTGCCCATTCAGTGCTGTTACTAACATTCATGACATAGCACGTTATACTCACGCCAAACTGCTGCTCTGTAGCTATGCTCGATCGGTTGGATACATTTGGGACCAATTCTTCCACTTGATTGAGCCCTACGCGACCAGGCTGTACGTGCATTTAGATACTTATTGAAGACTGTGAGTGCTAACTGAGCTTGCGTGATTCGTGTACTACACCCAGACCGTACATGGTGGGCATCGGAAATCGTGAGTAGCTTACACGTGCTAGTTGACCGAGAGGATGGTTTTATTCATGCAATACTATGATTTCAGATGAGTACGACTACAATAGAGGTGGAAAGCGTGATCTGAGTGGCGGTATGCTGCCGTATGGGGGCAGCTTTAACCCGGCGTGGGGCAACTTCGGTATTGATTCGGCAGGAGAGTGTGGAGTGCCAATGCACCATCGCTGGCACGGTAATGATGCTGCTGTAGTACGTGTCCAGCTAGATGCGGTGCACTGACGCGCTTACTTGTGCATTTTTTTAGCCCCCAAGACTGGAAACTGGATTTACTGGTACTCCTTCGACTACGGTGGCGTTCACGTCATTCAAATGTCGACTGAGCACAACTGGACACGAGGATCCGAGCAGTATGAATGGCTTCAGCGCGATTTGGAGCAGGTGGACCGCAGCGTCACCCCATGGGTGGTGCTCACAGCTCATCGCATGATGGTAAGACTTATTAAGAAGGGTTTTTAATTTGTATTCGTCGGCTCATCTTGTTGTTTTGGCTTCTATATGTAGTACACGACTCAGATGAACATTGAGTCCGATATGAAGGTTTCCTACAAGTTCCAAGAGGAAGTCGAGGATTTGATTTACGAGCACCGTGTGAATTTGATGATGGTACGTTACCCTGATCGTCTTCTGGTTGCTGGAAACGACGTGGACTAATTGCAAGTGTGCAGGTTGGCCACGAACACGCATACGAGCGAAGTTGTCCATTGTATCGCAAAGAATGCGTTGCTGATGGGAAGGGAACCGTGCATATTGTGGTAGGCTCTGCTGGCTATCCACTGGGCACGGAGGACTTCTCTGACAAGTACGGGAAGTGGAGTCTTCGTCACGTCAACGACTACGGGTATCTGCGTATTGCCTCGAGCCCGGAAGACATGCGCGTCCAGTTCGTGCTGAACAAGAACGGCAACGTGTATGACGAGTTCGTGATCGCGCCCTGGGAGGACTAACACGAGACTCTATCTGCAGCATTTTATAATTAGCTATCCTCTTTATGCTTGTCAATGCAGAATACTATTATCTTTATCCTGTGTTGCTATTGTGGAGGGATGGAACAGACGAGATCTTCCGCGAGAAGCAATGACAGCATTGTACTGACACCCGAGCGACATGATACGCGGCAAAACACGTTGCCGATGGCGATTGCAGCTGCTCTTCCACTGCGACTAACAGCGAACAAGAAGCCGCATAAGCTGACGCCACTGGAGAAAAAGGAGCGCGATCGACTGCGCATGAAAGAGCAGTCTCAGCGTCGCAAGCAAGCGATCAAGGATCAGCTCGACCAAGCCAATCGGTTCGCTCAGCAGAAAGCATCAAGTGCGAGCTGGCATCAACAGGAGAGACTGGAAGAAGAGCTGGTGCTTCGACGTTTGGAGCGTGATGTTGTCGAGCCCCAACGCTGTCATCCTGCTGCTGCAGGGTATTGTTTCGATGACACTGCACAGAAATTCACTACAAGCTCGCCCGTGTTTGCGTCGTATTCCTATGCGCTGTGTCCGCCGTCTCAAGCTTCACGTTTTCAGCTGCAATCTCGCTCGGGACTTCAAAGGACCATTATACGGACTGAAGCAGAGTATCTCCATCCAGCATGTCACGGATATGCGATGACCAAGCATGACGACAGTAGCTGTATCTCACCCGTGTTCTTCTTCACAGGCTTCGCAAAGATTCCGCTGGATAAAATCGTCATGAAGCAAGAAGATGACTCGGACGAATCTGACAATGAGGATGAAGATGTCGGTACCGCAATAAATGATGAAATGGACAATCGCGAACTTTCCGAAGCCCATAAGACACGCCAGCAAGAAACCAAGCGACGTCTTGAAGCTGTGACAGCTGCACGAGAGCTTACCTTGAAGCCCTCGGGTGTTAGTTGTACAGCTTCGATGTGCTTAGTGTGCAAGAAACCCACAGATACACCAGGATGTCCAGGATGTTTTTCATATTCCAGTAAGAAATACCTTGAAATTGAGGTTTCTAAAGCTACCCAGAGACTCAAGACGCCGAAGACCACGTTTCAAGAACAAGAAGACCAACGCGCTCGACACAAGGCTTTACAAAGACAGATCATCATCCCGCCGCTACTACCCAGGCTCAATTCATCACTATCGGAGGCAGATCTACTCCATAGGACCCCGCAGAACGACGAACACAGCTTCTACTCGACTGTTCTTCCTGATTTCCAAGCAATCCGCAAGTATAGAACACTGTAAGTGCCCCATGCCACTATTTTGCTTGGAGTTTCCATGCGCCTGACTGTTAGCTGTATTACTACTGACTTCAGCTCTGTTAACTTCATCACACTCCACATCAAGAGCTTGCCTGTCGGTCAGGTACGCCGCATCAAGATCAGTTGGTTATAACCCGCTAATATTTCGCTTGTCGACTAGTTAATCTCCTTGACCGTAGATCTCAAAAGCTCGGTGTCGTATTTGTACGAGCTGTATCGGGCGAACACGGAGCTACCCAACCGACCTTTGCATCTACTACTGCCAACGACGCACGGTTTGTTCTACCTCGACGAGCATATCGCGTCTGCTACGTACACAACAAACGGAGTTGTTAATGGCAAACTTCTCCTCGAAGACTTCAACCTCCAGAAGACAACACCTCTATACAGTGATCGTGTTGACGACAGTAACACGAACAGCGAGTTTTTGCTCTTTGCGGTGGCCGTTCTGCACCCTCAAAGCACCCCGCGGCTTGTTCTGAACTACGTGCAGCAGAACTTCCACTTCAAGCCACCAGAATGTCGATCTCTGAGCCCACTAGTGATATCTGTGGACAGCAAGGACAACAGTGGCTTGCCCCATTGGACTCGACTGGTTCCTGCTGCGTTCCTCCTCCCAAAAGCTGTGGACCAAGACGCATTTCAAGTCCAGATTCGACCTCATATCCACGCCATGCACGTGTTCGCCAGAACGAATTACGCTATTATTGCTGCAGAGCAACGTGAAGAGCGTGAACGACTGCTGCTTCTTGCACATCAAGAAGCAAAGGCGGCCAAGCTCGCGTTGAAGAAGAAGCTTCGGGATCAACAGACCGCTACTGTCTCCATCAAGGTTCGACGAGCTTTGGCCTACTTTGAGTTCATCTGTGAGAGTACGAGCAATCCCCGTCGGCCTCGTGTTGCAGAGGAACGGCTGGGTAAGTTGTGGCAGTTCGTGCAGATGCTGGAAGAGTGGAAGATCCTCAAAGGTGGTCGCTTGCTGGACATTGAGCGCTCGGACGTGACGCTGTCCTTGGTGCAGCAGCTAAAGGAGACCGCGTCTGTGGCGTTCAACCAGATGATGTTGAGCTCCAAGACTCTTAAGACTGACAAAGGTGGAGGCACACTGCCATATCCTGTACTCTGTCTGGAAGGTAGCGGCACTACACGCAAGCTCGTGTTGCGACTGGGCTCTAGGATGGGCGTCACGCCGCAAGACGACCACGACTACGGCATGGTACTTGATATGGACCAAGACTTCGAAGCACTTGAGAGAGAAGAACCTACGCGAGGATATATGAAGCGGACAGAGGCACAAGATGAGCAAACGGTCGGGACTTGGGATGATGCGGAATGGAGACACAAAGGGAGGAGCTCGTCGACGATGGCGCTGCTAATTTCGAGCTCTGATCTGCTGTCTCCTCCATTCTATCGGATCAAGTGGCCTTTGATCGTCAAGGCCTACAAGCTGGTGTTGAAGAAAGTAGCGTTAGTCAGCTCAAAGCTCGATGAGTTCAACTCCTTAGCTAGAGTACTGCAAACTTCTGACGCGGTTCTCAGCAAGACTCAGCTTGCGAAGTGGCAGGCAGACGTGAATCATTTCCTCACTACTTTGCACGACAACTGCGCCATGGCTCGAGCGGTGCAACGAGTGCTCAGTAAGAAAGGCGTCGCTGTGCTTAGGCGTCGAGCACAAGCACGACGTAAGCAGCTGCGAGACCGCGAGAAAGAGTTAGAGCGCTTGCGAGAGCTGCAACTGGAGCGCGACCGCCCGAAACTCACGCTGGCGCAGCAGCTTAAAGTCGCGTTCATCAAGGAGAGAGCGCCCAAGTTGCGCGAGGCGGTGGAGCTTACGCCAGCCGAGAAACTGGGCGCTAAGACTGGCGAACTATTGGGCAAAGCTGCTTCAGGGGTGGTCAAGGCGGCCCGCCAGGCCAAGAAGGAGTACGCAGTGCGCACGCTATAGCAGAGAGCAAGGGGGTCTTCATTTAATTATTAGTACGAACTGCAAAGAGGATGGCAACTGACTGAGGCTTGGAACGACGTCTCTCGCGCTCTGCTGGGTCTGCTTAGTCCTTGTGGATGGCATCGCCCTGCTCTTGCTGCATGGCTGCGTCATGTGCCGCCCGTCGCTCGACGTTGCGCCTCGCCAGCGTGCTGAAGCCGCGCGTCACGTCCACCAGCGTGAAGACGGTGGCCAGTACCAGGCCGCCCGTCACTGTCTTGTGCAGAATGTCCGCCACCTTGCTGCCGGTCGACATGAAGTCTATGTGTCAATCGATGGATGGCGTTTCTAATTGGGAAATGAAACAAGAGGTCATTAATGCGACCGAGATAACTGATAACATCTGATATCAGATATCACGGGCTCGTTTGTTTTACCAACTTCAACTTGCCAGATTTGCTCCAACGGTGCCATTGACGAGAACGAGAACATGATGCTGCGAGCTGTTGGTCTCAAGACTAGTAAAACTGTGTCTAGTCGCCCACTAACTGTATCAACGTACAGCCCGGATCTCAAATCCGTGGCGGAGAAACCGAAGGCTGTCAAGTACTTCAAGATCTATCGTTGGAACCCAGAGACGAAGGAGAAGCCGTATCAGCTGACATACCCCGTGGATCTGAACGAATGCGGGCCGATGGTACTGGACGCACTGTTCAAAATTAAGAACGAACAAGACCCGACGCTTGCGTTCCGACGCTCGTGTCGCGAGGCTATCTGCGGCTCGTGCGCGATGAACATTGACGGCGGGAACACCCTAGCGTGTGTCAGCCCCATCAAGAAGAACAATGACGTTGTTCGTATCTACCCGCTACCACACATGTTTGTTGTGCGGGATCTGGTGGTGGATTTAAGCAACTTCTTCGATCATTATGCATCTATTAAGCCATGGTTGCAGTCGATCAAGCCGAAGGGCGTTGGGGTGGAACATCTGCAGTCTTTTGAAGACCGCAAGAAGCTGGACGGCTTGTACGAGTGTATTCTATGTGCCTGTTGCAGCACAGCGTGTCCGAGCTATTGGTGGGCGCAGGACAAGTACTTGGGTCCAGCAGCGCTTCTGCAGGCATTCCGCTGGATTGAGGATTCGCGCGACGACCGCACAGAAGAGCGGCTGCGAGCACTGGACGATGCGTTTAAGCTTTACCGTTGCCACACCATCATGAGCTGCACGCACACGTGCCCAAAGGGGCTCAACCCAGCGCAAGCCATCCGCAAGATCATGGGCCGGCTCAACGAGATGCATAGCCACAGCGAATAGGAAGGCGAAAGGCAACTCAGTTTAGGCGAGCAAACCTTCCTAGTTTTATTTCACCTTGCAGCGTGTCTGTCCGTCCGTCCGTCCGTCTGTCAATCAGTCCGTCGCTTTCCTCTCTTTCTGCTTTTTCCTACCCTTTCGCCTGGCTACAGTCGGCCTGGCTAATACAGTTTCCTCCCATCTTACCGACCGCGCCTACCTTTCTGACTCGACCTAACTATGCAAAAATTACAAATATATCCAAAAGCGTGACACAATTAACTCGCGCCTTGATTGGGCAATACCGACCGACCTGCGACACTGACTGGATCTGTCGCACGATCAGACTGCCTCTCGCTCTCGCGATTGGTCGTAAGGTAAACATTTCTGCTGAGCACGAAACGCATCGATTGGATGCAAACGGCCAGGCGAGCTGCGCAGATACTGCAAATCGGGCACAGTAACCACTTTATTTTCTAAGAGCTCTGCACACTTCTCAAATAGAGATATTTATTATTATTAATGTAGATTTCACAGACAGTATTTGTAAGAGCTCTGGGATGTTATTTTCCACACACTTTTCAAAATAAAGACGATATTAATAGTATTAATATTACTAATATAAGCTTCACAAGCCGCAATTGTAAGAGCTCGGCGATGCTATTTTCCACAGACTTTCTAAAGTAGAGACGATAGTATTTTTTTAACACTAAAGTAGGCTTCACGACCAGCGCTTTTTGTAGGGACTTTGCGAATATATATCTTCTTTACTTCACTGACACTCACCACTACCACCGTGCAATGAAGGCGCGCGGCTGCACGGTCATTGCGCTATCTGCTCCCGTGCACCGCACCCGACGGATGCATGCGCGCACGATCGATAATTGTTTTAGGCAATTTATATTGCATGTAAAGCATGTATTTGTTTGGGAATCTGATATTAATATATTATAGCAAAGCCAAAACGTTAGTATCAACTGTCTAATATTTTTCTAAATAATAAATACCAGCCTTATATTTCCAAGCTATTGGCTAATATTTGGACGCAAGTAATTGGTTAAAACAAAATATTTTGCTAACATACGCACAGTTTGCAAAATGGTGGGCCCTACGTGCAAGCAATGCGAGGCGAAGATTGACCCGCTTCTGCTGAACCCGCAGCGGTCTACGACGGACCCCCGAGCGCGCTGCGTCTGCTGCAAGAAGCTGCAGTATGGCTACCCATTCCGTACAATCAGCGGACGGGGCAGCGTGCGGCACTGTATTGCCTGCAAGAACGGCCCAAAAGCGGTTAAGTTCTGGGAGGAAAAGCCTCCACCACCTAATTCGGCCGAAGTGCGCCGCCAGGAAAGCCTGTCAAACGTCGAAGAGGTGATGGGCCCTGACTGGTACCTCAAGAAGAAAAATAGACACAGCCGCCCTCGCAAGCTGACCGCCCGAAACGTCAGGTACACGCCCTCGCAAGCTGACCGCCCGAAACGTCAGGTACATTGAGCGAAAGAAGCAGCAGAAGAGCAAGTAATTGGAATATATGCCCTTTTAGGCCCCCATTTTCCTACCCATCTTTGTATTTTGTAAGCTGGCTGACGGTACGAGGCTTGGAGCCGCACATACGGTAAACTGACTATGGCGCTGTCAATAATGCTGACGCACCTACAGCGCGTAGCGCGTTTCATATAATAATTAGCGCATGGTATCTGCTGTGAGCCCTTGCAAGCTGACCGGCCTTATCTGCTTGCGCGTTACAATAGATCCAGAGTATACTCGCTCACTTGGACACATGTAAACCATGCTATCTGTGCCATCAGCGCTCACAGCGTATTCCATTAGTGTGCGCTCACAAATTGAAACTACAGCATCGAGTGAGCACTACACGCGACGATTAAGTTGCTGTCTACATAGATACGAGCACGTGTGCGGTAGCGCAAACAATACTGGTGGGTGTGGTAAGTCGAACTGTCGGTACGCAGTACTACACTTTAGTGCCATGTCCATAATGGTCGAGATAAGAGCTCGGCTCAGTTGCGGGTGGCGATAAGGTGTACCCGCCGCGCGCGTAGATACTGCGTTGAATACAAGTGACAGACGCGCGGTCAGCTTGCCAGTATCGCTGCAGTATGGCCTGTGCCCAGTTAGTGACCTGCTTGGTCATATAGACTGATACATCAGAAGCGTAAGCACAGTAACCCAGCACGACGACGCAAATGTACCGAGAGAGCGACAGTGACCCTACCCTATACATAGGTTTTAGATATCACGAGCGCGTGGTATACACTCATTAACGACCTCGCAATATATGCACGAACATATCAAATAGCACGTTGAGTTGATAAGTAGGCAGCAAAAGTACCTCATATAATGTACATGAGCTACTTTTCAGATTAAGTCTAAACATCACTACAGTTGATAGTCAGCCTACAGTCAGGTGGCTTCCTATGTTCGTCATACATATCGGAGCCAGTAAATGCCACTCGGCAAAGAGTTACACCACTCTGTCAGTCAGTAGCTATGCAAATAAGTCAGAAAGTACGTCAGCTATGCAAGTAAGATCAATGCATGCGGAAGATAGTGGAAATACCCTTCAGTTACATCACAAACAGCTCAGCAGAATAATTTCAAAGCAAAATATTGATGTTTGTGGCGACCATCGGCATATACTACCTATCCTAAAAGATACTTCGCGCGCGGAGCTGATTAACATTGCTCTATTCGACCGTCGCAATCGGTGATATGTGTCGACTGCCTCACGGCGATGACGTGCAGATGGGTAAAATACGTTTGAGTAGGCGTACTTACTCTAGCTACACTGGGATTCCTCACCGATCAACGTATATTTCGTAGCATCATTGATACTGACCCGTCTTCCGTACAGTATATATTAGCTTTGCAACCACGCGCGCCTCCGATTCGTGTCATTTTGGGAGCAATGCGCTCAAACGAGATTATAGACAAAAGCTTCCAGGATAAGACGGTGCTCTTCTTGCAGATCACGTTAAACCCTGGTCATGTCTACAATAACATGTGAGCACTACGGATACTGTGTGCGGTGCTGTTTTGGAGCATAATATACGTAGATCACAGTATACAGGTACTATATGTTGCTTCGCTTCGAGTAGAAATTCTAAGCCCACCGCAGCGCAGCGGAGGTGGTCGGCCCTCTCTACACCAACCAACCATGCCCTAGCGTCCGCGGAGCGGGCGCCCAGAGCGCTAGTATTTCACCTTGCAGCGTGTCTGTCCGTCCGTCCGTCCGTCTGTCAATCAGTCCGTCGCTTTCCTCTCTTTCTGCTTTTTCCTACCCTTTCGCCTGGCTACAGTCGGCCTGGCTAATACAGTTTCCTCCCATCTTACCGACCGCGCCTACCTTTCTGACTCGACCTAACTATGCAAAAATTACAAATATATCCAAAAGCGTGACACAATTAACTCGCGCCTTGATTGGGCAATACCGACCGACCTGCGACACTGACTGGATCTGTCGCACGATCAGACTGCCTCTCGCTCTCGCGATTGGTCGTAAGGTAAACATTTCTGCTGAGCACGAAACGCATCGATTGGTTGCAAACAGCCAGCAGATACTTGATTATTGACATTCAGCTACGCAAAACCTGTCGTATGTACTGCAAATCGGGCACAGTAACCACTTTATTTTCTAAGAGCTCTGCACACTTTTCAAATAGAGATATTTATTATTATTAATGTAGACTTCACAGGCCGCATTTGTAAGAGCTCGGCGATGCTATTTTCCACACATTTTCTAAAGTAGAGACGATAGTATTTTTAATATTAAAGTAGACTTCACGACCAGCGCTTTTTGTAGCGACTTTGCGAATATATATTTTGTACTTTACCTGGAACTCACCACTGCCACCGTGCAATGAAGGCGCGCGGCTGCACGGTCATTGCACTATCTGCTCACGTGCACCGCACCCGACGAATGCATGCGCGCACGGTACATAGTGAATTTAGTCAATTTATATTGCATGTAAAGTATGTATATGCTTAAAAATCTGATAATATATTATAGCAAAGCCAAATTGTAATATTTAAAAACATTTTAATATTTTGTCTAATAATAAATACCAGCCTTACAGTACCGTGCTATTGGCTAATATTTGGACGCAAGTAATTGGTTAAAACAAAATATTTTGCTAACATACTCACAGTTTGCAAAATGGTGGGCCCTACGTGCAAGCAATGCAAGGCGAAGATTGACCCGCTTCTGCTGAACCCGCAGCGGTCTACGACGAATGCCCGGGCGCGCTGCGTCTGCTGCGGGAAGCTGCAGTACGGCTACGCGTTCCGTACATTCAGCGGATGGGGCAGCGTGCGACACTGTATTGCCTGCAAGAACGGCCCAAAACCGGTTAAGTCCTAGGAGGAAAAGCTTCCACCACCTGATTCGGCCGAAGTGCTCCGTCAGGAAAGCCTGCCAAAAGTCGAGAAGGTGATGGGCCCTGACTGGTACCTCAAGAAGAAAAATAGACACAACCGCCCTCGCAAGCTGACCGCCCGAAACGTCAGGTACATTGAGCAAAAGAAGCAGCAGAAGAGCAAGTAGTTGGTTAATATACCCTTTTAGGCCCCCACTCTCCTTCCTATCTTCGTATTTAGTATACTGGCTGACCGGGCGAGGCTCGGGGTCGCACATATGGTAGTCAGCCTATGGCGCAGTCAGTATTGTTGACACACCTAAACAGCGTAGCGCCTTTCAAATAATATTTAGCACATGATATCTACTGTGGACAGCCGCAAGCTGGCCGTTTCTATCTGCGTACGCGTCACACGTACACTCCCTCACTTGGACAAAGGCAAGCCACGCTATCTGTATCGTCAATGTTCACAGAGTATATTCCACTAATGTGCGCTCATAAATTTAAACTACAGTTTTGAGTGAGTACTACGTGCAACAAAACGGTTGCTGTCTACATAGATACGAGCACGTGTGCGGTAATGCAGACCGTACAGGTGGATGTTCCAGGTCGATGTGCCTGTATGCAGTTCTGTATTTTAGTGTCCTGTCC